CGCCTAAATTTGCGTGTTCATGATAATAAATTCATTTTCATTACCAGAATAAATCACTTCTGGTTAATCATGGTTTGATGATGTGAGAGTAAAAAGATATAATAAAATGTTAAAAAGATATATCTTTACATCATTATTACCGAGTTTCATTGAGTGATTTTTTTGCATTTGAAAAAATCACTTTCGAAGTTGCAAGCAAAAAAAAAGGAAATGATTGAAACATTTATTGCTATTATTAATGTTATTATCATTATCCAAAAATGCAAATGGCCAGTTGAAAATACGATGACCAGAAGATGATAAATGATAAGACAGGTTAATCATTTGGATTGAAGCAAAAAATGTTAATAATAATATAAATATATAATGACATTAACAAATAATGATGATAATGTTTTCTGTGTTTTGTTTTGTTTTTGAGTGTACTTCAGGAATCACTTTGCCCAGAAAAAGATGATAAAGATGATTATGATGATGAAGAGGGAATCACCCTTAAGGTTGAAACGATGAAATAATTTGCTGGTAATTTTGAGCCATAACTCATCTTGGTGAACTTAATCAACGATTGGCTTGTTTCGCCATTTTCTTCTCCTTCTCCTCTTGATTGTCATGTTAAAAAATAATGCTGATGAGAAGATGGTGAAGATGAAATGTTGGCAATCATCTTCATCAGCATCGATGGAAAAGGAAAACCAGCAAAAACCAGCTTTTTTTGTTCATTTGGTGTATGTGTTTATATATTTATCTCAATGGTTATTTGGTGCTGGCAAGACTCTTGCGTGTTCATCCAATTTTCAGGTTCAATTTTGATTTTTTTACCTTTTCTTTGCTTATTAGGGGAGAAACTGTATTTGGCCGGAGAGAAGGGCTCTTAATGAAGAGGTCCCAAGACATCATGAAGGAACCCACCTTAAGATGATGATGATTATTATGATGATTAAAGTTGGGAGAAGAGAGAGAGAAAAGTATTTCATCAATGGTTTCATTTTAATCAAGTCTAACAATTTGAACGTCATTCGAATCTCTTTTACCATTTTTTTTAACATCATGTAGAGAAGGAGAGAAAAAGTAAGAGATAGAAATCAGGTAAAATTTGTTGCCCTTACCTTATCATGCCCTTTGGCCCATCACCATATTGGACCTGCCCAAGGTTTATCCTCTTTCCTTGGTTGTTTTGCTTTTTCCTGGTCAATCAAGTTAACTACGGCCATTGGCTATCTCATCTGGAGGAAGGTTGCAACCAAAGGTGGAGCTTGCCTGAAAAGGCAATAGTCTCAAGTAAAATTACATAGAGAGAGAGAGAAACAGATTGATTGAGCGAGGGAAACATGAAGACAGTGGGGTGGGTGAGAGGTTCAACAGTGAAATGGTCCATCAAGTATCAACCATAATTATATTTTTAGCTGTTATTATTTTTCTGGGAGAAAGGATCTCATCTTTGTGCAATAATAAACTACCTAAAGGTGAACCAAAGATGATGGTAAAGATGATATTATTGAAAACCCGTGGCTCATCGGTAGGTAAACTGATAGAGATGAAGATGAGGTGGAATAAGATGAAGATATTGAAAAGACTTTCTTTTCTTATCATTTTCTTTCTTCTATTCACCCAACAAAAAAAAAATAAATTTCGCCTTCTTTGAAGGCTCACACAGCAACAAACCCTGAGGTCTTTTTACCTGGATAAGTGTGTTTTGTGGTTACAGTAACATAGGTAAAAAGACCATTTCTCCCTTTTTTTGGCTCATAATAATGATAATAATAATTGTACAGATTAATAGAGTCAGGAATAATGGTAAATGATAAATATATAACATTCAATTTAGTAAATTGTGGTTATATTGGCTGTTGGAAGAAATCATTTTTTTCGTCTTTTCTTCTTCTTGGGTCTTCATCTTGCTTTGAGGGTGGCCAAGAAATGTTTGAAGGTGATTTCATTATTATATGATTCTCATCATAATCAACTTTCACCTTGAAGGATCAAATAATCATGGATCCAGCAAGGTAAGTAAAGATGAAAATGGGCGATTCATGATGATAAGAGGAGTTGATCTTCATCTTCATTTTTTCTTACCTTTTATCTTTTCTTGTTCTTCTTCTTCTTCTTCATCTTTCTCTGACAATAAAAGGTTCATGATGATTAAGAAAGATGCTAATAATAAAGGCGGGAATGAGGATGAAATATCTTGATGATGATCAACAAGTAACGAATATTTAAATTTCTAAAGGTAACATCTAAATTGTCAGGTATAATAACCATCATTATTGTTGAGAAAATGGATTTGAAGAGGAAAAACAAATTAATTTTGCTTTTCTCTGCTTAAAACAAGAATCTCTTGCAATGTTTGAAAATAAGAAAATTGAATAACCTGAGAAGAAAATTCATGAAAAATTATGAACTTGTCACTGGTTTGCCTTATCTCACCATCTCTGTGTTACATTAATCTTGTTGATCCAGTTAACATGGTAAAAGATGGCAAGATTATTGATTTGCCAGTGTAAAGATGAACAAGAAAAAAAAGTTCATGTTTCCATGAACATTGCGATTCGTGTTTTTTTATTATTCTGAAGATCAACTTATTTCTCTCTGGTAACATATTTCATTTCTCAAGTAATCATGATAATGAATAATATGATGATTATTACTATTAACATGATTACTATTATTAACAGTGAAATGGTTTACATCAGCTTGAAGTAGAAGTGGAAAAAAGGTAAAAAAAAGGTGAAGATAAATAAATATAAAGCTGTTTATCCATTCAGTTCACGAGTCATGCTTGTTCCAAAGAGCTTTTTTCCCTTCCATTTTTTTGGTGTTGATGATGATGAGGTCCTTTTGTCTGCTATTTTGTCATCAAAAATTTGAGTTGTAAAGGGCACCAAAGCGACAGTGAAATGCGCAAAGACAGTCTTGGTGATTGATTCAAGCTTTCACTTTTACCACCCACTTCGGTTAATTGTTGGTTTCATTTTCTTCATCCAGTATTTTCCAATCCTGATAATCACGGTAATACCTTTCTGATAGACATTTAGTGTTCCTTAATCTGCCAATAATAAAGTGTAATAGTAATTACTTTTCCTCCATTCATCCATTCAATTGATAATAGCCAAGGTTTTGTTTTGTGCAATCATTTTGGCAATAAACATCTTCCAACACTTGGCGTAATAACATTTCACATTTGACCTTATAGGTTAGACGCTGTTTCTAGGTTAAACTGGTTTTGATAGGTCAATATATTTAGTATTATTACAAGCGGACTCGGATGACTTTCAACTGAATACAATCAAAATTTTAAAGACTCGAGTAATTAATGAAAAAGTCATTGTTAAAATGAGAAACATTAAAATTTAAACTCGATCTAAAACTGAACGAAAATATGTTGAAAGCGATGTTCAAAAACTGTCGGTCAAAGAGATTTTTTACCCAAAGTGGCCCAGTTGTGCCCCTAAAAATCCACCAACGACTTGTTTACAATGCTTTAATAAGGAATCTGTATTTTCCCTCAATCTCTGTTTTCATGAGTTTCTCAGAGATTTCAATTCTTAGATGAGGTTGTCTGGTTTTTGTGGATTTAGTTCAGTCAGGACTTTTATGGTGTGTAATTTTTTTCTCGTAGAACTAGTTTGGCACAATTTCGGCACAAAAAATATGATACATTGACTTTATATTATTTATAGATTTATTTTGTGTTTGGATTGGATGAAACTAGTTTTTTTGGATAAAAAATTTCGCGCGTTTAGTGGATAGAAGCTGCCATCTGTTGAAACATAATTAAAGCTTTAGAAGTTTGTAAATTTCAATTTTAGTTAACCGTTAAATTATATGTTAATAACTGATGTTTTAAGAGTGATATTGTTGTTTTGTTGATATTATTTGGAATTGAAGAAATGTTAATTTATGGATGATAAATGTGATCATAGTGATAATTTACAAGTACAATGATTAGTGTTGAAAAGCAATTAACTGATTGTAATGTCACTTGAACTTGAAAAGTGAGTAATTTTAATCTGTTCTAGGATTTATTGTTATACTATCCAAAGGGAAATAAAATTAATTGAAATCTTGGCTAATAATCAAGCAACAACATTTAAATACTCTGCCAGTTGCTTTATTACTTCTTGTCTAACTCATGTGAGAAAATTTGATTGACGGAAAACGTGATCATTTTTTCTGCCCAAATCCAATCCTAAACCCGTGATCAGCTACGTACATAGGTGTGCTTGTCAGGTGAAGTGTGATGTAAATTAGTGATGTTTGCGACTGATTGTTGTGTATTTAAAGGATAGGCTGTATAAAGACAATAGTCTTGGATCAAAATCAAGTTTGATCGTTAATTATGATTGAGATGTGATATTTCAGTCTATCGGCATTGCAGGGTTAAATAATTGTTGCTTGGTAAACATAGCAAATCACGTAAACATGTTACAGTGTAAACCAATGTTACATGTAATGTTACATAAATTGCCAAGAATAAGTGGCAATTTGTTGAGCCATTAGTATTAATAAAATAGATAAATTAAATCCTGTACTGAACCAAATCTGAGGTAATTTAGATTTCACATTAAGGGAATCACCAATATTTATCAATGTAAATTGGGTTGATTTGTACCTAACACTTGAAGTAAATTACTGGAGAAAAGTTTCAATGAACAAAGAAACAACAGGGTTAAAGTTCAGAGAAATTGAAACCATTTTTCTTGAAGATGTGAGCTTTTAGTGAACCAGAAAAGATTATCAGTTTGAAATGACCCTGAATTTACAACCAAATTACGTCAAACAGATAAACGGGTGCAAATCAGGAGAGTAAGATTGATCCAGTACAGAGACAGCTGATTTTAATCATATCTATTATGGCAAACTTTCAATTTCATAGATGTCAATGTTGATTGGGCTGTTAAGTGCTGAGCTTCAAAGTGTTTATCAGAAACAAATGGATTGTTCAGGATCATGTACCCAGAATTAACATTCTAACAGCCAACTTTCCACTCGATTAAATGTTCAACAATATTCAGCAAAATATTTGAGTTGTAACAGGATATCATATTATCTTTTAGGTATTTTCATTCATATCAGCCAGATTTTTCTTCATTATCTCAATGAGACTTCTGTAGACTGATCAATTGCGAAAAATTGCTATTACAATTAATGATGTCGTTGTGTTGATGTAGTCACTTTTGCTCTTATCTTAGCATTTGTCATCTCAATAAACCTTGACGATTTTTTACAGTATCTCTTCATGTACATGTAAAATTGGCAAAAAACCTTTATACCATTTAACTCGAACTTGTTGAGCTTAGTCGCATACTTTATTGTTTCCTTCCTTGACATTAAAAACCACTCAAAAACTATAATAATCTGGTAAGCTAGAGACAATCCTGAAAAGCTTGATCATGAGACTTTGGGATGAGAGATGTTAAGAAATACCAGAAATAGCATCTATGAAAAGAAAAAATTTATTAATGAAAGTCTCGTGCCTTAGAAATTTTCTGATTGAGCTTGAATTGTTTACTACTTTCATCAACTACTTACATGTTAGAGGGAAACTCAGAACAATACGCACCAGGTACCTCGTGATCCAATGACATAACCATGGAAGTAATTCATGATACAGAGAAAGATGGGAAAACTGAGGAAAAAGGAAAAGAGGTAGAAATGAAAACAGATATAAATTTCAAGTTCATCTTGTTTACCAGCTTTTTTGAAGGGCTTTAGCCCTTTCAGATTCAATCTTGATTTCAAGGCTGAGGAAATCTCGTTTTCATTTCCAGTGATTTTTTCAACCAATATGGCAATTTAACTCTGAAATTGCACTCAACAGATGATAAAAAAAGACAGACAGATAAAACGAAAGAAATAAAAGACAGAGAAAGATTAAGAGAAGAGAGAAAATGTTAATAGCGACACCCATAGCTGTTTACCGGTACTAATCACAGATTACAGGAATCACAGATTTTCACATTTTATGTTGGGTCGTTTCTCATTCACTCTTTGATCATCAGCTTCATAACAGTGATTAATTTCATCTTTATTTTTGTATGTGATTGTATTTTAACTTTTATTATAACCTTTTGTAAACTCAAAACAATGACCACCAAACCAATGAGCCGACCGATGCCTTCTTACCTTTTGGATAGAGGATACAAAGTTTGGAATCATGCAGAAGAACCGTTGATTCGTCAACCAACATCTATTCTTAATCACAATAATAACAACCATTCTTACAGCCATCATACACATACAAATCACTCTCACAATGACAATCGTAAAGATCTGGGAAAACTGATTGAAGAAGAGGTCACCGAAAAAAGGTAAATTTTCTTTTCTTGACTTTTCTATTTTTTCTTTCTTTCTAATCTCAATCTTATTATGAGCAAGGTTAATTTCGCCATAAATTCCCAATCCAGCAATTTGTAGAGTTTGGATTAAGGTTGAACTTGACATCATCATTATTTTGTGATCTTGTGATTATGTTCCGCATTTTTTGTTTTATCTTAAACATCAACTATTCTGACTATTGTGGTGATTTGAGTTACCTTGACATACAGTTAGCCTTTTACTTTAAAAACACATTTTTGCCGTTTTTTCTTTTAAATTTTGCTATCTTTCGGTAGATAATTGCAAGTGGACAAATGTCACTCATTGTAATCGAAAATGTCTTCTCCTATTCTCGTTGCTCATCTCTTATCAGTATTTCAAATTTTGTTTTACTCTAATTGGATTAGATGAAGCTGATCTCAATTTCATTACAAAAGCAAAATGTCAACATGGCCTAATGACTGAGGTTTGAAAGGAGAAAAAAAAGGATGACTTCTTTTTCATCTCTGTCAACCAGGTAATAAGTGTTTCCATCACTTGTGACCAAAAATATAGCAGTTGACAGTTTCACGGTTGTCATAATAATCCTTAGCGAAATAATGATAAGATGAGCTTCTAAAGCTTATAAAAGGATTAGGAATAAGATCAAAAGAAACAATTTTGTCTTTAAAGAAAAGTTAAACACCTCATTGAACCTTTTGTTGTTACTGTCAAAACTTATCCTTTTACCAATACCAGTAATTTTTGTCATTTGTTTCATTATCTGTAATTCATATTTTTTTGATTAGTATTTCATGGTTTTACCTTTGCTCTTTTACCCTCTAATTTTCCACTTAGGAGAAATGGATTCAATTTGAGTAACCCGTATTTAAATACACTGGAGGTGGATAAACTGTATCACTTAGGTTTAACCAAAAAGGGCGACAATTTGGTTAAAAAATTTGGTGATGTCAAATTTGTCTGTACGGGAGAATCAGTTAGTCGGATGGAATTAACTGCCACAATATTGAAGCACAAGTTAAATTTGACTGAACCAGTGGAAAAGATCAATCAAGATGTAGATCGCTTTACAATCTACAAAGTTGGACCCATTCTTTGCGTCAATGTAAGATCATTCACTTTCACTATCACCATAATCCTCCTTTGAGTACATCATTATGTAATCAACTTTCTTGTTGGTTAAATGTCATTGATTCCCGCCTTCTAATCTCGCAATAATGAACTTGCCTAGTATTTCATCATTCCCATCATAATATTATATGGTTACTGATTTTATCTCTTATCTTATTTAGCATGGAATTGGTGTTCCATCTCTAACCATTTTACTCAACGAGATATTCAAGCTTTTGGCCTATGCTCGATGTCAAAATGTTACAATCTTCCGTCTCGGTACTTGTGGATCCATCGGTAAGAATTTATCTCATTCATTCCTTCCTTTCACCACCTTTTCCCATCCTTTTTCACCTTTTAAAAATTTAATTCCGGTCATGTGCTTGTAAATAATTGAAAAGTCACCCAAACCGATTTACTGAGGCTCTTGTCCCAATTTTTATTTTCATCTTCTTCCTTGATTACCCATAACCCTTTATGTAATATTTGTTGCATTTGTTTTGATAAAATTTATTTTTCTTCTCTTCTTGCTCAAAGGTAAACCTCCGGGAGCCCTTATTATCACCAACAAAGTTGTTGATGATCGGCAGAGACCTCTTTTTGAGCAGGTATGTACCAGTCCCCTTGAAACTTAAAGATAACATTGACAAATGGAAGCAAAGGAGAAATATTTTCTAGCCTTTACCTGGCTACAAGATGAACGGGAGTTTCCCCATTCACTCTAATCGTTATTCAAGTGAGGCTGATCTCACAAAATATTTCACCATTTTGTAAAAATAATTTGAATCTAGCAAAGCTACTTTTTTTACTTTACTATCTTTAATTGCCCGTTTGATTTTGATGGCTAATTTATCCGTATTTATTGCTTTTTATTACCTTCTAGGTTGTACTGGGTCGCGTTGTTTCACTGGAAGCTACAGTTGATCAAGAGTTGGTTGAAGAGTTGCGTACAATCGGAGGCACTCAATTATCTGAATTAACTATTGAAACCGGCACTACAATGGCTACCAATGACTTTTATGAAGGTCAAGGTCGCATGAATGGCGCTTTCTGTGGTCATACTTTTGCAGAGAGAGGACGACATCTCTTGAGCCTTAAAAAGGCTGGAATCATCAACATTGAAATGGAAGCAAATGCTTTTTTCGCTCTTTGCACAAAAGCCAAGCTTAAATGTGCTTGTGTTGATGTAGTGGTTTGTGATCGACTTCGTGGAGACATGAGCAACATTGATTCGGACCAGTTTACTCTATTTGAACAAAGGCCAGCCTTGCTGATTTCAAAATACATTCAAAGGCACATGGACCTCAATTGAAACCGTTAATTAGGGAAACTCTTTTTCTTTCCCTTTCCCTTTCTCTCTATTTTCGTCCCTTTCCATCCTTCTCTTTACATTTCTCATTCTGATTGTTGGATTTTATCTCTTCCATTTTTTGACTTGACTTTGTCTCTGTTCATCTTTTAAATTGTGTTCTCAAAAGTCAAGCAAAATTGAATCCCATTGTATTGTCAGAATCAAAATCATCTCATTTCTTGATACATTTCAAGAAACAGACAAACTCAAGTCACTAAAAAATGGAAGATTTAACTCTTATTGATCTGGTGCAATCATTTTAATTTCATTCATTTGAAAAACAATTTATTAGTTGACTTTTATCTTGATTAACCTTTATAGGGCCCACACTGTGATTATTATCTTCCCTGAATTCCCTCCTTTCTATTGTACAGAATTTCATTTTAAGTTTTCAACTAAAATCAAAAACAAAAAGCCACAAAATTATTTTAGTTTACATTTTTGCTGCTTTTTATTATCAAATCATAACTATTTTGTTAATCAATAAAAAGTGCAACACATTTTTATTTATTATCTGTTTAATCTGTTAATGTTTTACCAAGCTGAAACATCCAGAACTTTTATTATCCTGAGTGCAAGAAATTGAAAGATCTCAAAGAAAAATCTCCTAATTAATATGATAAGTTCCTTAAATTATTACTTACGGATTCCAATTATGTAACTTTACTGGTTTGACAACCATTAATACTTATGACTGTTAAACTCTTCCTTGGAATACAGCAATCTTGGTGATGATTAAACATCGGATTCACAGTAAACATGGATAATTAAGGAACTCGGACGATTTTTTAATCCGGTTATATCTGGAAATGACTGGATACATGAAACTGTCACTTCATCTCCAACATCATCTTCATCATAATCATCATTCCTTTTTCATCTTTACATTAGAGAGTTGATGAAATTGATTTTTTCACCCAATGCTTAATCTTAATTATTAGATAATTCATTGTATTGCAAAATGGTTAGGAAAACAATTGAATTCAATGATTCGATTGATTCCAATCTCTCTACAATACGTGATCTTTATTTTTGTTTTGCCGTTTCTTTAATCATCACTCAATCATTTTATAATTTCTATTTGCTGGTTTGATTGTTATCCATCGATTCACAATCAATTGAGTGTCATCAAACTTGTTCAATGAGGTAACTCAATAAATAAAAGTAAACATTGGACTTGGACCTTAAAGGAAGGTGTGTAATTAATTTGATTAACAATTAGACTGACTTTTGGCATGAAAATTGTTCACCAGATAAAATGTTGGCCATAATCAACTAAATATTGGTTTGCAGCTCTTTTAATCTCTCTTATAATAATGATCATTGAATGATCAATATCAATTTAGATTGAATTTCTTTGCCTAAATTGTCAAATTTTTGGTCTCTAAAATAATTTTTAAATTAATCGGGTTTTATTTCAATCAATGATTGTTCATTTAAAGATTTGGGCATTTGCATGACACAGAAAAACCTAATCCTGGTTAGTAATAAATTATATTGTATTATATGTAAATCCTTTGAAATCAGTAGGTTTTAGGTACAATTGGTTAAACAATTAATTATATCTCAACCAAAATCTAATCGCATGAAGAATTAACAATGACATTTACAATAACAATTAATGGCGATAAAATTGGTGCAAAATTTTATACAATTGCAACGGAGATTCGAGAAACAATTGTTTTGATCAAATCTTGGACATGTTTCAGCTATAAAACCATTAATTATTTCACTTAATCATCCAGTTTCTGATCTCTTCACAGTCAAAATCCAAAACTGTACATCAAATTAAATTAAAAATGGTTCGACATCTTGTGCTTCTCTCTTGTCTCTTGTTGATTCCAGCTGCTGTTGTCTTAGGTAAAGTATTCATTAGTTGAATTGTTTTTTATTTCAGATAATCCAAGTGCCGAATTATTAATTTTTATTTTGTTTTGTTAATCACTCTAGCAAAAAATGGAGGTCTTAATGAGCCAATTCCTTTGATACTTTGGGCTTCATCCGATCCAGCTGAAGACCAAGAAGCCGGCAGAATAAATCCAGTTAAATTTTATCATTTTATTGAAGATAACCTAGAAGCAATCATGGATTATCACAATCGATCTGATGCAGTTGGCATAAGTCTTTACCTAGCCAATCATGGTGAAGAATCTGGTACTGAAGGAACTCTTTGGGCTGCCGTTTTCGCCAAAATTGCTTTCAAAAAGACCATCGGTGAGACTGTAGAAAAGGAACATGGTCTTCCTTCCCTGGTTGCCTGGGCCATCACCAATACTGGAACAGGATCAAGCAATCCTTCAATTGACAGGTCAACTTTGGTTGAATTCATTTTATACCATAAAACTGCTATTTTGAAACTCTTATCTAAAGGTGACGTTGATGGTCTGGTTGCTTATCTTAATGAAACCAAATCAGAATCTGGAACCAAAAATCTTGACTGGAAATCCGTTATCGAAAACCTTAGAGACAATCGTCAACTTTTCAAATACTCATGTGGGCTCTTCGGTCTCCAATTGTGTGACAGAATCAAAAATTGAACCAGTTATCCATACAACGACATTCAAAAACGGCGAAATACCTCAATTTTTTACTAATTTAAATGTAACTGTTCCATCTTTCAGTTCTCGTCAAAGCTGCGTTAGTTTTAATAACAATCTTATTTGCTGATCTTATATTGTCTTGCATTTTTTGATAATTTAAAACGCGATAATTATTATAGTTCTTACGAAAATGTTAATTGAGATGCTGTTTTAAGTAAAAATAGATATTAGCAAAGCATAATTGGACAAAAGATCTGATTGTGACACGTGTTATATTGATATCATAGATAATTTCAGAAAATTCCTATCATGTCATAGAAATTAATAACATAGAAATTCAGTTAACATTAATTTGATTAGAATTGAGAAAATTCATGTAACCTTAGTGGGATACTGAAAAAATATAATACCTTGGTAAAGAAATGGATAAGTTGACAATCCAAGCAAGAAAACAATAAATCAATTAAATTTGATCAAAATCATAACTTTCATATTTATCTCTAGTTCTCACCTAATATGATTAAAATCATTAATTTTGTACGGAGAAATAATCTCAGAATGTCTAAACAATAAAGGTTGATCAAAGTTTGATTAAATTGATTTACTAATACAGCTTTTATTGTTTTTAATTCATACCATATTTAAAGGAATAGGTTAGATAAATTTATATTGATAGAGTTGAAGAGTAGAAATGAACCGATGAGATGTCATTATTTTTCTAAGTTCAGAACTAAGTTGTCGATTTCAGGGTTTTGTTTGAGATCACTGTGAAGCATACATGTATGATGGCGACGAATTGAAATAACAGGATTAAAACATGGCGGTTCCCCCGCCGCACAAGGTCTAAAGAGAACTTGATTAGAATCATAAAGAATATCTGAAAAATGAATAACAATAAATTAGATTTCAAACATTTCAAATTTCAAATATTCTATGTATGATGTAATACTTACGAGATTTACAATAATGGGATAAAGGGAGTGCTTGATTCTGGCATTGAACTTCTTTGTTAAAAATACATTTCGCATAGATTTTTGGCTTGAAATTCTCTCCTTCCAGCAAAGCTCTTCTTTTTTCTCGAGCTTTGTCTTTGAGTAAAGCTTCTGGTCCACGATACCTGTGGTATTTAACCAAAGCTCGTAATTTGTAAACGTCATCTTCAGAGTAGCTTGAGTCAGATCCATCACAATCACCAGCATCTCCCATCAAGACTTCTGCCTCTTTTTCGATTTGCAAAGATTGTATATATTTTTTGTACTTTTCTCGAAGTAGATATTGTAGATGCTTGAATTGCCCTATGTACAGCGACTGAAGCTTCAACATTTTGTCTCTCAATATGAGAGAAACTTCCTCTGCTGTATAAACACCAGCGTGCTTTAAAGGATCATCTTGATCACTGTCAAAATTCTCTGAATCTGAATCAAGAAGATCTGGACGTAGAACATCTTCCAACATAGGATTACTCGATTCCTCATCAGACTCTTGATCTAAAGATTCAACAGCAGCTTCTGATATTTTATTTCTCAAATAATCACTGGCTGTAATACTGTTATCATCATCCTGTTTTACCCAATTGATGTTGGCTCTTCTCTTTGTAGGATCTTGACTGTAAGCGTAGTGCTCCAACTGAAGTAAAAGACCACTCAATCCTTCTCTTTTTGCTTTGGCTTCTTCAATATTTTGTTGCTACGCGGGAACAGGATGATAAAATAGAAAAAAATGCAATTCAAATTAAAATGCGCAAAGAGACAATGAAATTTTGCGATAAATCAGGGATTAAATTGTTCAACTTACCAACTGTTGATGCAATTGATGATGTTTTGACTTCAAGAACATCTTCTTGATATGCCAAGGGCAAAGAATTTGGCTACTTCGTTCAGATTTTCTTGCAGCATTTGGACATCTTTTGTTTGAAATTGGATGAATAAAGGTGCATTGTTTGAAAGGAGCACTTTTATCAACTAAGATATGACGAATACAGTAATCAAATCCATCCAGCTTGTTCTGAAGGCATATACGGTGAATATAGGAACACAGTTCTTTACCATCACTCGATCTATTCATGATTTAATTGCCAATACAGTCAAGGTTAACTCAAATTGAGATGAACAACTTAGAGCAAAACCTGGATAAAAGGTAAAACTCAGTTTACAAAATTTACATTCAAAAAAGGTGAAGATAAAGAGATTTGTTGGATGTGCCAACTTTGTTCTGTGTCGCCATAGTGACAAAAGTAACGCTACAGCACATGCTCCAGCACCAGCAACCCGCGATTATTAAATCAAGATAAACTAAATATTAAATGAATGATAAAATATCAATAATAAATAAATCAGGTATCGTCATGAATGATAATCAATGGACAAAAATTAGGATTATAGATTGTCGTTAATTTAGTGTTAAAGTTACCTTCGATCAAGTTATAATTTCGAGTATATCAGGCATGAGTTGCCCTAATCACCAGTGGCTTGCTCTCAAGTAAGCTTTGAATGTTGATTAACTTACAACATGATTATTTTGTTTTAATTTTTGCTGATAGAATCACAAATTTAATTTGTTGTTCCTCACCAAACGTTTTACCAACTGATTGAACCTCATGGAGATCACAAACGGAATAAAAAAGATCTAAAAGGTTGATGTGTAAGGTTGAAGCTGCTCAAGCTTTACTGGTAAACAGATGAAACTGGCCTTGTTTTGCTATTTCAGATGAGCTTAAACAAAACCTGTAATCTTATTGTTATTATTTACTATTTTGTTGTTGTTTATGATTACAGAAGCTACGCCAATTAATTTCACAATCAGTTAATATAAATCATTGAACTTGATTTTTCTTTCGCTTCTTTTGACTGACTTGTTTCCTAAAAAGCTACTCTTTAAAGCATCATACAGAATATTTACAAACATATTTCCAGCAACATGTAACAACATGTAACAATTGCCTTTAAAAATTGATTCCAATTCAAGGTAAGTTTGTATACTTTTTGTAACAAAAATGAATCCTTTATAATCAAATAATATAATAATGATCATAAAGTGTAAAAAGTGAAATAAAAGTAATACAATAAAGAAGGTGGACTTGAAAAAGAAATCATTACTTTCCATTTTATTGAATAACAAAAGAAACAGCAATTTGTATTATTGTAAAATAATTGGCTTAATAACATTTGAATTTGTCAGTGAAATTAAAAGCAACTTGAGACACTAAAAATTACAATCAAACAATTACAATCTTTAACATTTATTTAATCACTTATTGTCTTGATTCTTGCACCAGTCTTGTAATATTTTTATATATGGCAACGTCTGTACAACATAATAATCAATTTGGTGTTAGATTGAAATAAAAAATGAATTAAAATAAAGAGTTAATCAGCTCAACATTGGAGTTGATCAAAGAATCATTCACACCATGAAATTAATTGGCAACCTTTCCAATTGTGTCTCCAGTAATAATGCCTAGTGATTATTATTAAGTTGATCGTTATCATCGTCATGTAACTTATCAGATGCTTTGTCACACAAACAGTTAACTGGATGTATTAACTGTGCACAATTAACAATTAATTGTGCACTAACCAGTGATCAACCTAAATAAAAGTAGAAAAGGTAAGAAAATTTAATTTACATTGCAATGTTTTGTAATGATTGAACAATGATTTGTGAGTTTGTAAGCTTCTGTTGAATTGTTTTGTTACATTCTGGTTCAATTTTGCTTGATTGTTCTCGCTTTCTTATCTGATAAAAGTGTTAACTTAATTATCCTGAGTAAAGTCCTCAGGCAAATGGTCAGCACAAACCTTGAACAGAAAGTATGGCAAATCTGGTTAAAATTGGGTTTAAAACAAAAAACACTGTTGATGGTGTTAACATGAAAATGGGTCTCACTTTTGTTGCCATTCAACAATTTAACTATTCAATATCATTACAAAAAATGGAAAATCTCTTTAATTCTCTTCCTGAAAATCATTTCTCATGCAATTTAATCATCGTCTAAAATTAAATTAATGATGTTGTTGAAAATTGAAATGAAATAATTTCGCAAAGACACGAACTGAGCCAACCATTTTTTTAGTTAACAGTTCACATTCAAGTTTAAAAATGTGCATTTTCTTTGAGTATTAATGGAATTAATTGTCCTTACTCACACAACTAATGAATCTGAATAATGAATTTAAGCAAGTTAATCATTAGGAGTAAACTTGTTGAATATGAAGAAATTTTGATTTACCATATGTTAATGTCGACTTTCATTTAAATGCTGATGGTTGATACACAGTGTAATAAAATGGAAATGAAATTGTGTTGGTAATAAAATGTATCCAATTAATTTAGACAGTAGCCAATATTGGTTTGTTTAAAAATTAACGATCAATAAATCTGCATAATTTTCCTAATTCAAGTCAATTTGGAGTCCAATTAAAGCGAGGATTAAACAATCACCACAAAAAAGCCTCAAAACCTCAAGCTTCAACTTATCCAATCTAAAGACAAATAAAAGAGAAAAAAACATTTCAATTATTATTTAACCAGATTCTTTGTATTCTTTGTGATTAACTAACAATGGAACATAATAATAACATAAAAAAGTGGAATACCTTGTTAACGATTGTTGATAATTCAGCTTTCCTCTTAACCATTTAAATTTCCGTTGATAAGTGACCTCTAAATTGTTTAATAAAGGTGGTTCAGGTTATAAGAAGAAACAAGAGAGAAATAAAGATTCCAAATGATGATAGTAACAGTTTAGCTTCAATTTGATTGTTATCAATCTGGAGAGAGAGAGAGAGGAAGAAAAAAGTGAAACAAATGAGAAATCGAATACAAATAATTCAAGAATTAATCAAATACACAAACCTTATACAAACCTAATAGCAAAGAATAAAGCTAATCAGCCAACAGAACTTTTTATATGTATAAAATTGAATGTATGCATAAAGTAAAGCTTCTTTAAATCAACTAAATCAATTGTAAACACAATGTTAGATTGAAAACGAATCCAACATTTTAACAATAATACGAACAACAATCAAAGAGTAAGATCTCGAGGTAGTTGGCCAATAAACGATACACAAGAGCGCAAAAAAAAGCCAACAGCAACAAGTTAATAAGCGTGAGTTTCACCCACGTTGGTAAACAATATTACAACCATTTAAACGGTGATTATTCATTCAAGACCACTAATTATCTCCAGATAAAATAATAATAATGATGATAACAGTGTCTTTAGATGTTGAAACAATCAAATCTACTTAACAAATCATTGACCAACAAGTCAGAGAAACATAATCTATAACCTAAGCAACCAAAGGGAAAACCGCCAAATCCATTAACCCGCTACATTTAAATTTATAATTGTTGCAATTGGAAAATTTAATTTTCTCTATTTTTTAATCAATTCACTTAAATGAACCAATAGAGCTTTGAAATTATGTAAAGTAATCAAGTGAAGTGTAAAAATGAACCTAAAAGGCATGATTTACTTTACTACTTGTATCATCTGATTTTGAGAGAATCAACCATTTGAATTACAATTAAACAGAATGCTGTATCATTGTGGACCTTTTTTCACTCTCTCTTTCATTCAGTAACATTATTAGTACCAAAATGATTATCATTAGTATTAAATTGCGAATCACTGTCACTGTTAAATATAAATAACAAAAACGAACCCAATCAAAGCTGTTCCCAATACTGGCAATGGTAACCAAAGCAAAAAGAGTTGGACTCTTCCGGGAAAGTTTCATATTTGCTGTGTTTAAGGATAAATTAGGTTTTCCAACTCACACAGTTTGATGTATTTAATTAAATCAACATAATTACACAAGACAATAGTTGTAAATCAAGTGTCAACTTGCAATAATAAAGGCAACTGATTCTCACGTTAAACCAAAACCTAATGGTAAAAAAACGGGTTTACCCATCAAAAGGTAAAGATGAATTTTCAAATCTTGTCCGATTGCATGATGAAATTACACCCTTTAATGATCAATAAACTGTTCAATTGTCATTATACGATCAAGAGGCTTAAAGGGTAAAATTTACATACAAATAAAAATCTAGTAAATTGAAGAGTCTTCATTAATGTGTCCATAATGAAAAGATGTAAACATTGGATGGTAACATTGGTGTGGTTAACATTGAATCAAGCCCATTGAAAGTGTAAACAAGTGTACAAATGGCTACTTAACAATCATAATTGCTAATTGTTGATTGCTATCAGTAAAACAAAGCTAATACAAAGCTAATGACAATAAGCTTAAATTGTCAAATTATGGAAATATTGACTTTAAAACAAAAAGCTAATCCAACCATTTCTCAATGAAAATCTGTATTACAATTGTTTTGTTTTGCTTCTTGAATTGCAAATTTTGTTCCATTCAATTTCAATAATACAATTGATTGTTGACACACCCGATTGGTCAATGAAATCAATATACATTTAATAATACATCAACAATCAAAAGACAAAAACAAAGAAACAACAAAAAAAGGATCCAAAACTGCTGTTAAAGGCTACAATTGACAGTAAATTTGAAACACAAAATACAAGGTCTTACCCAAGTGTTGGCCTCTTGTCAAATATTACATATTTAAATCAAAGTTGACCATTTCAGATGTTTCAATGGCCAAAGGAACCATCCATTGGTCCATTGTTTAGTAACTAAACAGCTGAAAGACTGTTGAAGCTTCTTCTTGAATACATTTCAATGTCCTTCACTTACATTTTGTCACAGAAATGTCCTTGTATTGGATTCACATGGTTAACCTTACAATTTGATTTTAATGAAAAAAATGCACTTCCATTCAAGCTTCTTCCTCATCTTTATCATCATCATCTAATACCTTGACTCGCTTTTTACCCAAACTTTCCGATTTCTGATCATTGTGTTTTAACATGTTTATTGTTTACAATCAATCTGACCATTTGTACCATTGTTTAACTGTTGATCTGTTACACCACAATCAGCCCTAACCTTTATCATCAGTTTAATTCAATTGAAAAGCTTCAATGTGTGTGTGTGTTTTAAAGGCAGTAAAGGTTAAACGCTGTTTTAACATCCTTTACTCACTTTTAACAAGCTGTTGATCATCAAAATTAAAGATTGAAACAATCATAATTGAATTGATCGACAGAAATGATCAATGAAAGTTAACTAATAAAAAACCTAACACGGTTAGTAAAAAATATCAAATGTTGATCAAAGATTTTTACAAATCCATTTGAAATTGGCATTTGAATGGAGACAAATCCATGTAAAAATTGACAATAAAACTCAAATCAAATGAATCTCTAATATTATTTCGTTAATAGTGATAGTTGAGTGTTAAAATTGAGAGTTAAAAAGATGTAAAAACACAAGAAAAAGGTAAGATAAAACAAAAGGTAAATTGAGGATCAATCATAATGCAATGAACAATGGAAAGGTTGAAATTGAAAAGTTGCAAAAAAGCTCATCTAAATACATTCATCAGCCGGGTGGGTCTAATCACAACATGTGTAGGTTGATTAGTTTAATCTTGTGTTCATCCCAATCATCATCCTAATCTACTATTTAATTACCTTACTTGTGGCTTTTCCCTTCAAATAAATTGGAACAATTATGAGCTCTCAATCGTGAAACACTTTCCAGCATCTTCATCACTCCACCTCTAGCAACCCATTGCATCCTCCCATCACCAACAATAATCACCAGTATTCATTAAGAAATGGAAACAAATTGATACCGCCTTCATGGTAAGGCTAACATAGAAAACCAGATTTACCCAGAATCCAACGGTAAACGGCTCTGGTTGTGATGAGTTGAAAGTAGTGCTTGGAGGTTGGCTTTAATTTTGAAAATAATTGTACAACCAAAGTAGCCAGTTAGACCAGAAACAATGGCCTGGTTTTGTTTATTTTTTATCATCCACCAGTGAGAGAGTCAATATTCTTGTGACTATCTTCATCATCATCATCATCTTCATCTTCATGTCTTCAATCCTTTGACACTTGTTTGTCAAACATTAAACTCCTTTCACTATCATTTTCATCCTCCTTTTGTTTCTTCACTCCTAGCTTCACTTTTATTTGTTACGCGCACCGTTTTATGTATAAAATCAAGTTAATCAAATTTATATCATTTTGATTATTCTTTGCGTTTTCGTCTTCTCTACACATTTTTTTACATTATCATCTTCTTCATCTTCATTTCTCACTCTCATCATCATCAGTTAATTATAAAGTTGATCAACTGTTGATTGTATCTTTCCAGTGTTAATTGATTTCACCAAATGATTGGTTTTGTCCGCTTCTTGTAACCCTCTCTGCTTTCAACTGTTGCTATGCGCTCTGTCTTGCTTGTTTCACTGATCCTGTTGATTATTTAAAATTTAATTTTCTACCATGTAAATCATATCATGTCTTGATTAATTGTAATGCGATTAAGGATGATCATCGTTTATATTAAACCATCTTAAGAGTTTATTTTGTTATTTGTTTGTATTTGGTTCATTTGTTTTCTTGTGTCTCTGTTTTGGTCTCTTTGGTCAACCTTTTATTTTTGGATCTTTCGGTGAATCTCCATCTTAATTTGATTTGTTTCTAAGATCATCATCAACTGATTTTTTGGAGACTGCAAATGAACAGATAACTTCATTATCAATCCATGGTTAGTTACAATTTAAATTATTTACTATCAAACCCATTTAAAGTGAATATTGATATCTTTGACAAAAATCAGATTCAATACCAGCCTTAGAGTTTGGTTGCCCGCAGTTTCAATTAGAAGCAAATTGATGATTTGTTAATTTAACCACAAATTGTTGCTATTTTTAAATTGTAATATTAAGTGTTAGCTATTAAATTGTTATCTCATTAATTCTTGGTCTGTGGCTGACTGTTTGCCTTGAGAAGTCAAATGTGTTTGAGTTATCTTTGTGAGTAGTCTTGATTATAATTTTATACAATTTCAATCAGTGATCAACCAGTTGCTAATTAAAACTTTACCCTACCTTTAATTGTGACACATTAGCTAATTAATTTTGAACATGAATCAGCATGATTTTTAGGTGAATGCAATGGCTGTGCTTTGAATTATGATTGCTCAAGAAAACCCTAATAATATGATGAAGTTATAATTGGGTTGAGAATCAGATGATGATTTGATGGAAACAATTCTAGGTGATCTTGATTTTCTCAGAACTTTATCATCAAATTAACCAACCAATGGTTTGATATCAACCAGTAAAAGATGAATGTAAGTTGATTAAATTCATAACGTTTGAAATGAACAAATGGGTAAACAGTAACTATGTTTATGGGTCAGTCCAAGTGAAATTCAAATTTCCGGGGTTCGACTCAACTCTCAGATTGCTGATTCATTTGAATTGATAACAAAAACAGAGTTAACCCAAAGCTTAACACATTTCAACCAATTGCTTATGACACAGTTAAAACAATAGAGTAAAGAACAGTGAAATTATGTACAAAATCAAACTGAATGTAAGTCCATCTTCAAGCTCAATCATCAAAAGGGTGAAGAAACATTTTGAGAAAAATTTATGACTTGGCCTAACGTCATTGTTATTAAAATAGCACTTTGCTTTCAAAAAGATTCAATTCTACAATTTAAATACAACAGATTAAGGAGTTTATTGTTAGCTGGAGTCAAGTTTATGGCAAGAGCTAGTCACAAGTTCAAGTTATTAAGAATCATAGTTTAAAGGTTAACAGAAGATATTATCTTGCTTATTTCAACGGTTTTTTTGTTATCACATGTTGCTTTGTCTTTACCGAAGAGACAAGGTTATGTCTAATGAAGATGGATCGCCATTTTTTTGTATTATATTATGCTAATTTTCCTATTGTTTTCAATCAATGAAATTTAAATTTGGATCGTTTTTTCATCATTTTCAGTATAAGGACGACTTTATTTTTGATGCTTTGATATTGATAGTTTATTATTTTGCTTTGTTTTATAATACTTTTCCTATCATTGAAACAGCTTTTAACAAACTCTTTTTGTTTCTCAATAGGCTGACGAAGGACAATCAAATGAGAAATTCAACGAAACTCGAAGTAAAAGTATAATAATACGAAGTCCTGATGGTAAATCAATTACCAAACACACCTCAATTCACATAACACGGGTTAATGGAGGTTCCCCTGTGGGACGAATCACCGATGGAAATGGTTCTCGACCTGTATCATCAGCATCAACGGTATCTTTTGAGAGCCAACGGCCTTCAAGTCAACCAATGGAAGGCTCAAAGAGTGAAACAGTTTACCAGTTTAAATCGACATCACCTAATCGATTATCTTCACTGCCTCAAGGTTCGGATAGTTCACCAGCAATAAACACAATCAACACCCACTCTAATAGTAAATTGTACACTAATGGTACCCTTGTTCCTGCCATCAGACGAACCTCAAGTAGTCTACAGATTAGTGTCAATATACGATCACCATCAGCTAATGATTTAATCTACAGTAAACCTAGTTCACCACTGCCGATCAGAAGAAGTCAAACAACCTTTGAAAGCTCATGGATTCTATCATCCTCATCATCTTACCAACCTAATCAACTTTCACAGTCGCCTATTGGTGATAGAAATAGTCGAAGTAGTAGTAGCTTATCCTTCCGATCAACATCACAATTGTCAAATAATAAACCAACAACTGCCGATGTAACTGTTCAAAAAGAGAAACCAGAGGAAGCCAGGGAGAAACAGCCTTTGACCACTAAATCCCAAACAAAAGGGACAGCAAACGGATTATCATCTGCTTCATCATCCCCCTCACCTCAGCCTTCATCCTCTCAAATAAAATCACAGGTTGCAATTGATATTAAATGTGGCCGAAGAAGTGAACCATCACCTTCTCGCATCTCAATTACTCGGGAAACAGTTTCATCACGAACAATCAAACCCAAAGATGTTGTCATTGACAGTTCCGAGAAACATGGTAAAGCAATCAAGAGTCGATCATCGAGTCCAGTTAAAGAATCAATCGTCAGAAGTTCCCTTAAAGTTAACCAAGATAAAGAAAAATCAATACATAAAAGTGAGACAATAGTTACAAAGGAATCTACCGATGAAACTGAAATTTATGAAAAAACGTTAACTGTTCCATTAGATGGTTGGACCGTTTCTGATGCAATTGAAAAGGGTTTTCTTGATACGATAAATGGAACTTTCACTGTTCCTGAAAGTGATCATCAAATTAGTCTCAAGGATTGTTGCCGTCTTAAGATTATCAATCCATCTTCGGCTGAGGTAGTTGATCCAAGTCGACCTTTTACTCGACCAACAAATCTTAGTTTAGCCTTTGAACGAGGCTTAATTGACAGCTATGGACATTACTTGGGCAATGAACGTGAACCGAAAATATCACTGGAGCAAGCTTTAGACCGTAAGTATGTTACTCTTAATGAAAAAGTTAAAACCAGCAGTCTAATGGCTCGTAAAGTGATAAAAATATCAAGATCGAAAAGTAATCAGTTAAATGTAACTCTTGAGCCCGAATTGTTGGCTAAAGCAAAAGCCGACTCACAGCTTGTTAAAAGAGTCATGGAAGAGCCAAAAAGTTATCCTAGAGAAGTTGCTATCGAGGAAAACAAAAATATCACTGAAATTGCATTCATTGATGATGATGATGAGATAAGAGAAATTGATTCAGAAGTTGAAGATGGACGGACTACTCGGACAACAATTGAAACCATCAGAGCTGACGACTTGGAAACTGAAACAATAGCTGCTGATTTTGTTGTTGGTGAAACTTTATCTACATGCTCGGATTCTGGAGACGAAAACTGGACCGAAATTGTTGATGAGATAAGCCAAAGGTTGGATATAATTAAAGAGAATGAAAAATTTCAGTCAGCTTATTCGAAATTGTCAGCCTGGCTTGAAACAATCAAGACTCGATTGAATGAACTTGGTCCTGTTGGAAATGATTTGAAAATGATTTCATCTCAACGCTCTAAATTATCATCGATTCGCAGTGAATTCAAAAGTCGATTAATAGAGCGTCAAACTTTCACAGCCTCAAGTAAATTTTTGTCAACACGAATGGACCCTAATTGTGGAGAGTATCAACAAATTGAAAGACTAACATCAAAATTGTTGACCCAATGGAAAAAGTGCGAATCATTATTAAATGAGAAAGAAAGAGAAGTTAAAGGTTTAGATTCATTTATTGAATCGTTTGGTGGTAAAATGTCCCAATTGGAAAATGATATTGATTGTCTAACATCAGAACTGGATGATTTAAAAATGTCTGATGCTAAGGTAAAGGAGAAAAGCAATCGTTTGGAAACTATCAATGAACAGTTAACCATTTCTAAATCAACTCTGGCTGAATGTGAAGTTATTACAGATCATTTGTACCAATTGGTTGGTGAGCAAACACGAGCTGATGAGGTCAGGTCCAAGTTTAACTCAATTGAGCGCAAATCTGTTGAGTTGTCTAATGAAATAGAAGCTGTTACCAAATATTTAAATAAATTACGAGATTTTGAAACTTGTGAAGCATCACTTAATGATTGGTTAACCAAAGTGTCAACACAATTAGAATCACCATTGAAAGTATCAACTGATGAGACTGAGTTAAAGAATGAATTGACTGATGTCGAAGGATTACGATCTCAGTTTGACAAAAGAGAATCCGATCTTCGTTCGCTGGAGTCAATGGGCGTTGGATTATTGGAAGCTGCAAGTTCCTTGGCCACAGGAGCAGCAGCGGTACAAGAAATATCTCGAGTTTCTGGTCGTGTCGAGTCAATACAATTAACTTGGAATGAACTGTCTAAAGAGGTTGAAAATAGAATTGGTCGATTGGAAAATGCATTGAAATCATATGTCACTATAAAATCATACCTCATGAGCATATCTAATTGGTTAGATGAATTGGATGTTGAATTGTCCAACGTTTCCGATTTAACATATGAACAAGGATCACTTGAAGTTCAACTGAAAGCAATTGAAGCGATTGCTTCAGAAATGAACGGTAAATCAGCTGAATATGATAAAATTAGTCAGATTACTCTCGATTCCTTCAACGTTGGAGTGAAAGAATCTCGAGAAGAGATAAATGGAATAATTGATCGATGGAATTCAATTGCTAAAGATACAGAGGAACGCAGATCTCGATTGAAAAATTTACTCGATTCATTAAAATCTTTGGATGCTTATGTTGATGAAATATCGGCTGATTTTGAAGTTTTTAATTCAAAAATCGATACAAGTGGCTTAATGGAATCACCAACCTTTGAATCTCGCTCAATTGATAGAGTCAAGTCTTTTCTTGAATCAGTCAAATCATTGGAGAGGAAAGTTGATCGAGCTTCAACAATTGGTAAAGATTTATCCAAACAATTTGAGATTATTGGACAGTCTTCAATGCCGATAGAAGTATCCAAAGTGGAGCCTTTAGGGCGCATAAAGAGCTTATCGACTAGAGTTTCAAATTTACGTCATTCAATTGAAGCTCGTCACTCCCTGTTAAACACAACTAAAACGTCAGTTGATAAAATTCAGCGTAAAACTGATTCTGTTGATCGTACATTGACTCGTTTGATTGAGGTTAGTAACAAGTTACCAACAATTGTTACTCGAGACTCTATTACTTTGGTTAAACAGCGAGATGAAACAATAGAATTGAAGGAAGAAGTAATTAAATTCGCTTCTGAAATAAAGGAATTGAAAACAGCCATTGAAAATGAGAAATCGTGTTTATCAACATTCCATGTAACATATAAAACTTTCCTATCGAATGTTGAATCAATTGATTCTCGACGGATTAATCTATTATCCTTCCTAACTGAACGACTAGGAAAAATTGAATATTCATTGAAAGAAGCTCAAGATGTTGAAGCAACTTTACACGAATTTGCTGATTGGTTAAAGACAATTGAGTCAATCGGTGATTCAATGGAAGAACCAAGTTACCTTGTTGATACAATAGAGAAGCAATTAAAGGAGACTGCTGATTGTCAAGTTTCAATTACCTCTAAACGAGACATTTTGGTTGACTTGGAACGAAGAGGACCTAGAAGAGAAAAAGAAATGCTAGTCTCAATACGATCACGTTATAATAAATTGACATCGAAAGTTACCAAAAGGAATTGCACACTGGAAAGAAACTTGAAACAAGCAAAGGAATTCATTGAGAAATGGAATGGACTGATTAATTGGTTGTCAGGAACAGAAACAATTATTTCATCTCACGAAAATATAAACTGCTCATCAATTCAGCTAACTATTGGTACTTTGAGAGAATTAAATCGTGACTTTGATCATAAACAAGGTCATCTTGATTCCATTTGCAGACTGGGTCGAAATTTGAAAGATAAAAGTCCAAAAAGTGATGGTGATTCATTCCGTAATTTGATTGATACACTTAGGAATCGTTGGACAGATGATTACAAAAGTGTTACTGACTTGCTTCGCAAAGCTGAGAAGGTTTCCAATGTTCTTGATCGATATAGAAAGCTGGTAAAACAATTAAAAGACTGGTTATCAGAAGCTGTTATTTCCTTTGATAGATTACAGGGCGACCCCGAAATTGTACTGCGATTGATGAAAGATCATGCTAATTTTACTAAACAATTGGCTCTTAAAAATGATTCAATGATTGTCCTAAAAGACTGTCTTGATGAATTGGTTGAATTATTGCCAGAGGATTGTCCGGATATAGATACAGTTACATCTGAATATTCAAATTTATCTCAATCTTGGGATGAATTGAATCTATTAAGTCAAGAGAAGGAAATGAAACTACAAGAAGCATTGGATTCAGCTGAACTCTTAAAAAACCGAGTTAATAAAATGCTGAACTGGTTAATTGAAGTGGAAACGTCTTTGGGTAAATATAAATCATCTCCTGGGTCAAGCCATGACGAGTTAAACCTTCGCTTGCACATTGATGAAATCAATGGTCATATTGAAAAGATGGGCTCCATTGTAAGTGACCGAGATGAAATAATTTCAATAGCCAAAACAGTGTTAACTGATTGCCATCCAGATGCTGTATTTGCTGTTCGCCATTATATTGAACTGATTGAGTCAACTTGGGATGATGTAGCTCGACAATTATCCAAGAAAGAATCTGAATTGAGGAGTAAACTGGATGAAATTGTTGAGAAAGCTGCATATTTAGCTGAACTATCTGGTTGGTTAACAACCAGAGAAACTGAATATGATTTACTAGATGGTAAATCAATTCCCAATGAGATTGAACCGATTCAAGAGTTTATCGATGAAATGGAGGCTTATCGAATGTCAGTTCATTCAAAGGAAAGTGAATTGGATAAATTGTGTGAAGATAATCGTAAAGAGCCGACTAACAAAGCGCGACGCCGAATCGGTCAGGATCCTGTTAGTTACGCTAAATTGGCAACTGATTTACCATTGGAACAGATTGATGATCCCAAAGTTGTCGATATTATAACACGCTGGCGAAGTTTGGCTTCAAAAACGCGAGATCGTCTGATAAGGTTGCGAAGTAAACTTAATTTTTATCATGAACTAGAAAAGTTACGAGACTTTGATTTTGATACATGGAAAAGAAAGTTTATTGATTGGTTGGACAACAGGTCAGCAAGATTAATGGACTTCTATCGAAAATTGGATGATAATCGCGACAACAAGATTACTTATGATGAATTTATTGACGGATTTTTGAGGCACAAATTTCCTGCCTCCCGAAGCGAATTGCAAAGAGTTGCTGCCATTTTTGACCGTAACAATGATGGTTTCATTGATAACAGGGAGTGGATGGAGAAATTGAAAGATCCTTCGGAAGTTGAGATGATTGTTAGTGAAATGAGGAAACAATCTGCTAAATGTACTTGTCTTTCTAAATATCGAGTCCACCAAGTGGAGGACAAAAAGTATCAGGTAATTTAATCTTAGCTTGAAAACATGCTTTTAAATAAGTAATTATGCTAATTGTGTTGAGTATTGAATTTAATTTGCAGTTTGGAGAGTCCCATAAAATGAGACTTGTGAGGATTTTAAGAAGCGATATTATGGTTCGAGTTGGTGGAGGTTGGATTTCACTTAATGAATTTTTGCTCAAAAATGATCCTTGTCGAGGTAAATTGTTTGGTTTGAAAAATTAAACACAATTTTACTAATCACTATTGTTTATTTTGCCTTACAAAAGCCAAAGGACGTACAAATGTAGAGCTACGAGAGCCTTTAGCCGATGGAGTTAGTCAGGGAATGGCTTCATTCCAAAGTCGATCGCCGTTTTTTGCAAACAACAATTCATTTGTTGGACCGATAACCAATGTGAGTTTTACAGTAGTTAATGCAACCTCACTGAGATTATCAATCATTAAAATATTAACATTTTGTTCTACATTTTTGAAGATTCGAGAAAAGACTGAACGAAGTGTGCCAATGTCAATATCAGCAGATCAAGACGAGGATAACGATGAAGATATTGATGAAGATAGTATTTGCGGTGGAGAGACATCAAGACCTCAAAGTCGATTAACATTCACAGGTAAGTTTATCATATGTTAAAGAGAGATTTTGATTTGTTGCATTACATGGCATTGAAATAATTTCAATTTTTTTCATTTTGACTTTTTTCTAGCCAAAGAAGAGCGATGTCCAAGTCGAGGAAGCCATGTTGGAGAAAAAAGATTGCGAATCGACACTAGGCCGAGATGGCATTAAGGAATGATCGTCAAAACCAATCTTTCTTTTTTTCCCTTCTTTTTTTTCCCAAATTTTAAAACACGAAAAAATCAAAATTAGTTAATAACATAAGCAGTGGGCCTAGATGAATCCCTCATAGTCTTTCCTTGATTTTTCCCCTTTTATTTCATCTTATTTTTACCCTTTCACAATTCACAGCTTCACTTTCTACAATTTCTTACTAAACAAAAAAATCGGAAATTAACAATTTTATGGATTAATTACAATAACCAAAAGGATCAATCCAATTAATTCAAGATAATGCATTCACAATTACACATTAATATTGTTCACACACTTTTTATGGCTTAATTGTTTCTCTTTTACTGTTTATTTTTGAAATGATGAACCATTTTTTACTGTGATTGTTTTTTTGTTTCATGACTGTTTGACATTGATAGTGAATAGAGATCAACAGAATGACAAAAAATGAATGATGAACAAAGAAAAGTTGAAACTCAATTTAACATCGCTATTGGGTTTACTATGACGGCATATACATTGCAAGTTTCATACTTGGGGTTGCCCTTATTAATGCAATAAAGACATTCAACCAAGAAGAAATCACAAGATTGTAAATAATTAAGAGTTTGAAAAAAAACGCTTCATTCATTTTGTGACAGGCAATTTTACATGTTGTTAATTTTGTAGTAACAATGTTTGTTGTTTTGTTAAGTGATGATGATGATGATGATAGGCTGGTTTTGCGTTCAATTGATTAGATGTGAGCACAGTTTGGTCAAATTTGATGTTTCTCTTTCGTTGTTGATTGCTAATGGAGGTGGTGCAGGTCTTGTGGTGATGGCAAGTTTCATTACAAGAAGTGAAAACATCAAAATAAAAACTGTCACAAGGAAGAAAAATGTTTCAAGAAAAAACAAGCAGCAGTTTTTTGTTGGTGGGTAAAGGGAAAGGTCTTGAGCGATTGTGTGTCATTGATCAGCTTGTATAATCATGCCCAGTAAAGGGGTCAAAATAATGAGGGAAATAAATGACAAAAAAAATTTGATTATAATAAAGAGATGACAATAATTAAATGGAGGAACAAGCAGGGTGATGATGATTTTGAAAAGCAAAATTATACTGAGGTAAAATAGGAGAGATTAGTGCTCAAAGTTGGGAAGACTTTTTTCAATAATTGATGAAGTTAAAATCCGGAATGTTGTCACCATTCATCGATTGATTAGTTTATCGGGATCTTTGGAACGGATGTTATGCATGTGCCGTCACCTCAACAAAATATGGAACGTTTCTAGTTGAATTTATGGCAAAGAGGTTTTTTTCCTTAGTGTTGTTTGTTTTCCTTCCTTTACCACATTTTACCAGTTAGGCGTTCAAAATCAAATCATAATCTATAATAGATTCAATTGTGTTTGGGTGTTTGGTTTTTTTGTGTGTTTGTAATGTATGATTCAAAAACGATAATAGCAAAAAATTAAAGTTATTGATGTCAGGCAAAGAAAGGGAAGAAATGAAGAGAAAAAGAGTATGACTAAAAATTGTCTTCCTTCAATGATCAGGCAAGACAAGATTGGAAGTAAAAGAGGGATGAATAGAGCCTGAGTCATTAAAAATTATGTTAAGGAATTACGAAAAAAAGGGTTTAAAGTAAATTAGAGAGCTAAGGGAAGGGGAGAAAGACTTGACAAATTAGAAGAAATAATACAGTTAGAGTGAGAAGATAAGAGGATGACGAAGATGCAAGAGACAGACAATATATATATATGCATATGAGGATAGGTAGCAATATCATTATCGATAGCAATAGCATAGAAGATTAAAGACAGCGAGAAAGAAAGCACATTGTAAAGACTTGAAGTGGAAGTTGAGTTTGATGTGCATTTAGGTTAAACTTTTTTTTTGTCAGCGTGCAGGCCTTGAGTAATGGTGAATTTAATCCATGTGCTGGCTATAAAGGTCGACATCCATCCCGAGCATATTCATTTTTAAACCCCCTCGAATGATTCTATGGTTTTTTTGCAGTTTTATTTTTCTAATTTTGTTCCAACTGCGAAAAGTCAGACTCCTTAAGCAAAGTACATAACTTTTTTGGTATCAGGATGGATTGTTACAGCTCGAGCTAATGCTGTTTGAGTCCTGTCATTACCGTTTGACTGGTGACTACCATCACCGCTAAATAAATGAAAATAGAAAAATCAGTTAAAATGAATCAAGTACACAAACTGATGAATATCATTTTTCAACACAAATTGTTGAATATAAACATGCAAGTTACGAAAGATTGTTTTATCAAGATCAATTGCAAAGATTAAGCAATGATTGTAATGAATCAGTGTAACGTGGTCATTTGTGTAACATGAGTGGTTGAATTGAAATAAGAAAATGGAACATTTTATTAACCTGAACTCGGTAAGATCGCCTGTAAGGCCAGATTGACTTTCGGTTTCCAGTTGGCTGACCCTATTTAATTTAGTAGAGTGTAAATTAGTAAATTCAATCATTTTAATTGGTAATTAAAGAGTTTGCAAGTAGACAAAAGCTTACCTATCATTTTCCTTTTCAACTAGATGATAACGTGCTCGAAAAGCTACAAGGTGAGCATAATAGGCGGGAGCTGGGATTGATACTGAGCGTGTGCAGCGAACATAAGTATGACAAAGTTGATAAGTTAGACATTGAAGCTCATCAGCAGAAAAGTGGTTATCATCCCAAAGAACATGATAATGAGATGGACGACTGGTTCCCTGTGTAAAGTAAAATATAAAAAATTAATCATCGATAATTTAAAGGACAAAATTTTGAGAAAAAAATGCAATAAAACAAAGGCAAGAGCCGGATGTCAAAGTTCAATGTGCGCTTGTCCAAAATCCTATTTAGGTTTTTTCCTAATCTTCAGCCGGAAAACAGCTTGAAAAAACTAACATATGGATGGATAAAAATCTCGATGCATAAATAGTACAAAAATGAAATGCATTTTTGGCTTTGAATAGATATGAAATTTTCATAACGACTAAAAGTAAATTAAGGATTTCTCGAGGCTAGATAATTCAAAAACTGCAAGATTGTTTCAAGAATGAAAATTTAACCTCACATGATGAATGAAAGAATACTTCAAGTCTCTTGAATAGCTTAGAAAAGAGATGCATAATTTCTTTTCTCTCCTGAAGCTATTCATCCAATAGCTTGTTTTCAAAAAAAACTTGATAGGCAAGAAAGTAAAAAGGGTGATGCACAGAGAACGGAGTGATTAGGAAACGCATGGATTACCTGAATACCAGCATGAGAGCAAAGATAGAAGTCAAATTCAGTTGGGTGAGTAATGCCAACATCAACCGTGGTTCCTGCGGGAATATTGCCGCTTCTCCCGACTTGTTCTCTTTTATCGGCACAGAATAGTCTTGTATGATGACGTTTTTGTACTGCAATAAAAGTAATACCTGGGTAATAGTCATCTTCAAGCATCATACAAGCTTTCCGTAGGGCCAGAAGCTCAGTGTTAAGGACGGCTGGGAATTGACCTTCAGAAACTCCATCTCGATAGAAAATAATTCGAACTGGTTTGTAACGAGTACACTTGTAAAATTGAATCATCAATTCTTTGACCATGCTAGCTAGGTCTTGGATAATTTCTTGACGGTGCTGTTGAACACGAACGGTTGCTGAATATCGAGAAGGATGAGCATCCATAGAACCAACTACTGCAGCTATGGAGGGCTTTTTATTATCACCAGCAGGAGGGTGTGTGACATCCGCTCCCAAGAATATCACAGGCTCATTGAACACCTTTGGTCTAATAGGTAATTAAATTGAGAAAAACATTAATGAGTTGAATGACAAATAGGGTAACAAAGGAAAATGGTGAGATAAAAAAGACTTACCTAACACTAGGTACAAGAATACTATTGATTCCTCCGAGTTTTACATTAATTTTTAGGCAAAGGTTAGATAAAGTTTGAGGTGATGTTTTGTTGACATTTTTGGCTTGAACACATTGAGTTGCCATACCAAGGACGGTATCACCAACTCTTTTTACTTCAGCGTAAACTGGAGTTTTACCAGGTAAAACAACAACAATTAGTTGAATACCAATAAAGGTGGCCTTCAGATAGCGAAACATTGGTTCAACTTGATCTGATCCAGTGGCATACTTGCAGAAACAAGGCTGACCAAGGATAGGCATTCCTGCGTCATTAGATATTTTTTGTAATTGTCCGATAAAAGTACGAAGGGCATCTTCCCGGCATGTCCTTTGTGGAGCGAAGCAAGCAATCGCCCAAACACGAATCTCAACTCCAGTGTGAAATTGTTTTCCTCGCATATCCCAGACACCACTGTTAGGGAGTGCTTGTTGTTTGGTTCGACCGCCATACTGAAGTTTTGGTGGAGGTAAAACTCGACCTTTAACTTCCATCATAGTATTAGAAATAGACAATCCAAATTCTTTAATATAAGGATCATGATTGAAGTCAGCTTTAACTACTAAATTGTTAATCTCTCTTTCTCTGTCAGGTGCTGAACGAGCGGTTGCCTTTATCATGGTTGATGTTTGCATATCTGTGAGTTTCTTGATGCATCTCTGACCAGCAACAATGTTGCATACCTCTAAAGGCAAGTAAGTATGCTTGTGCTCTTGACCTACTTGTAGGCAAGGAAGATGAGGGAACCTCAATTTCATCTTGTATTTTTCAAAAAAGTATTTGGCAACAGTACATTCAATTGTTTGGCCATTGTCCAATTGAAGAGGGAAAGATTGAAGTTGAGATGGTCGTCGAGTAACATTGCAAACTCGATATTTTCGTCTCATGGAACCGCAATGGGTAATTTCTATCTTGAGACCTTTAATTTCTTTGGTAAATTTGACTCGCTGAGAATCGGTGAAAGGTTTCTTTTGTTCATTAATATCTCTCAAGTCCAAGACTTCACAGGCAAAATCAATGACTGGTTGAGCTTTGTAAAAAGCAGTTGCAGAGACATCAATGTTCAATGTCATTCGCCAATGAGAAGGCCGGACACTCTGATGAAATCCAAACCAAACTTCACGTCCACCACCAAGTGGATGATAATAACCATCTGGAGTTGAAAAAAATGATCGTCCTACTGGTGTGTAGACCATTGATGGAAGGTGTCGCATAACCACGTCTAAAGCTTGAATGGCGTCCATTGGAATATATCTATTTTCACCCTCGAGGGCTCGTTCTAAATGATCTAGGTTAACTTGATTAACCCATTTAATGGCGACTCTGAAGAGCCTGTCTTTACCTTCACCAGGAAGGATGACTTCTAGTTCAATTTTATCCCTACCAATAGGTAGATCATCTGAGGTATACATATTTTTACGACCGTCAAAAACGGGTTTCTGATTTCCGAACAACTTTGAGTATGATTGGACCATAATTTGAATGATTTCACGATTAATTTTACGTGGACACTTATCAGGTGAAATTGTGACATCGTAATGGTGCAGAAATCCTCGAGGCATGGTTATCTGATAATGATTCGCTCGCAAAAGAAGTGGTCTTCCTTCAGTTCCAATATTAGGTCGTCGTGGGCAGATAAATGCTGGATCTGGTAACACAATACCCTCTTGGCCGTTGTTATTATTGTTATTATTATTGTTGTTGTTGTTGTTGTTGTTATTATTGTTGTTGTTGTTATTATTATTGTTATTATTATTATTATTATTATTATTGTTATTATTATTGTTGTTGCTGTTACTGTTGCTGTTGTTGTTGTTATTATTATTATTACCTCTTCCATTGCCATTGCTTCCACTGTTTCCATTACCACAGGCGTTTCCATTACCTCCACCACCAATAGTACCAACAGCTCCAGGTCCACCAGTACCAGTAACATCGATAGAATCACCGCCACCACCACCACCGTTTCCACCAGCAGCAGTAATACCACCAACAACAGTAGTACCTCCGGAAGCTCCTCCGCCAACAGCCTTGATTACTCCATTGCTGACCTTTCCTACGGGCATCTTGTTGAGGCATAGATCAACCAGTTGTTCCATGTCTATGTCCATTAGATAGGGTTACAAAAAGATTTCAAAAGACACAGTAAAATACAAGATAAATTGACCAAGACACAGATTTAAAATAGAAATTAAAATGTATTTTAATGACCCAGGTTAAATACCCATCTTGAGATACAAAATGGAGGCTGATTTTTGTGTGTGCACAAAAAAAATAGTTACGCCATCTAGGGAACAAAGTTATAAACAGGTAAATTGTGTAATTATGAAGATGAATTGTTAATATTTACTTCCAATCGTAATGAAGCACTAATTTAAATTACCAATTAAAGGTGAATTTACTGTAAATTTAAATTTACAAAAACTGCCAATAATACAAATTGCTTAATCTTCAATTTGTTTAGTCCATCAAGATTAACTTTTAAGTGAACAAAATCTTTTTTGTTTATCAGTCAAACAATACCATTGTTCCCAAAGATCTGAGTACTTTAATTCTTGATTGTTTCTCTATCGCTGGCTGATAATTTGTATACACGAAGCTCATTTCAGTGAATTAATAATAATCTTAATTTCAAGGTCCGAGAAATCATTAACTAAACATTGCTTATTTCACTTCGATTTGAGTTTTAAATTGACTCAATAGAAGGTTCCTTTGTTGAATTTACGACGCAGTAAATGTCCACAGGTTGAATTATTGGGTCTAGGCATCTACAGTGATAATTGCGAGCTCTTGAAATAATAAGATATCGAAGACTCTTTGTTATGATTAAATTAAAAATCGCAAAAATTTCTTGTTACTTGAATATACCGTCATCTAGTGAATAGAAATTGAATAACTGAATGAAATCGTCTGATCATGTGATGTAAATAATAAGTGAAAAAGGATGCAGAATCTGACAATGTCAAATGAAGCCTGAGTGTTGGAAATTTTATTTTAACCAAATGTTGAATTTATTGTTATCGTTTGTTATTGTTCTTTACCATTATTTTTAATATGAAATGTTTTGGTTAACTTAAATGTGATATTCGGTGTTTTCTTATTTTCCTCTCACTCTTCTGAGGAAAATCAAGTCTTCTGCTTACATCTGTACATTAATATTATTTAAAGTTGTTGTTGTTTTTTTAAGCAATGGATTTGGATGATAACTTAACGGTTGAGGAAAGAAATCTTAAAATTGCTGCTCAAATTGGACAATCTCTGTTGGAACAGAATAATGTCCTTAAACTACATAACGAAGAATTGGAAGCCGAATTGGCTGCTGCCAATGAAACCATTACCCAGTTAAGGCATGAGATTGCTACTAAAAATCAGTTGATTCATCTTTACAGTGCTGATTTGGAAACTACGGAAACTGAAATTGATTCTATCGATGAAACCAGTTGTTCTTCTTCCCGTGATAATAAACAAACTCACCAAAATAACTGGGAATTGTTACAAGAGCAGATTAATTTTCTGGAAAATGAGAATCTTAAGCTACGATCTGAAGCATCTCGCCGTACGATGGACATTGAGGCTGAAGAGAAGAAGGAATTTTTGTTGATACATGACTGTGCCAAGCAATTGATTGAGGCCAATTTACAATTGATTAACTTACAGGAGGAGCTTGCCCGTCGAGCTGAGGATAATGTTCATCAACATGAAGAGATTACCAATCTTTTAACTCAAGTTGTTGAGCTAAAGAAAAAGATACGTGATCTTTCACAGGAGAATGAAGGACTTTACAATGCTCTTGATTTGGCACATGAATGTCAGAATGTTCTATCTGGTGAATTGTTAGAAGTTAAAGAAAAATATAATGTACTTATGACTGCATTCCAAGAGCTCCAAGAAGATATGAAACGTAAATCTGATACGAGTCTATCTAATTGGCCACCGCCTGGTTCTTATATGCCCTTTGGTGAATCTTTGGCCGCTGAACTTGAAGACAGTCTTGATAGTTTTGGCTACGAAAGTGGACTCTCCAGCCTGAATAGGATACGTAAAGATACTGATGAATCTCGTTGTCACAGCCCTGATTCTGTTTTGGGTGGATCCAGTGAATTTCCAAAAGGAAAGCTCAAAAGACAAGCACAGAATAGTTATATACTCGGTCGTACCTTTCAACTATCTAATAAGTTAAAAATGGTTAAACCTATGGAAGGATCCGAAATTTTATCTCGATGGAAGCAAATGGCCACTCCGCATTTAGGGGCAATTTTTGAGAATCCTTCTGGTGTACAAAACAGAATCATTGAAAACATTCGTACAGACCTTTCCAATCATGTAGCTAAAACAGCAGGTGTTGCAGTATCCGTCACGGTTACTTCAATGTCTCTAAACAATCAAAGTAATAATACAACTTGTAATAACAATTATAGGATCCGGTTATCAAATAACAATGAGAATGATGGTCATCTACAAGATAATAATCATGCAGATGAAAAAGATTACCCAGGGAAAATATTTGATTCAACACTATCAACATATACTTATACCACAACATCACTCTCATTGACTAGTGAATCAACGCTAGTTACACCCAGTTTCTCTGCAGTTCAGTTATCGACTGGCCACATCATTCCAATTTCAAGTGTTTCTACTTCCATTTCCTCTGATTCATTCAATCGTTATGCTTCTAAAAACAGATTCAACCTAAACTCAGAAAACAATTTAACTTCAAATGATTTCCCTTCATCATCTACATCAACAACCGCGTCTTCACAAGTGAGTGGAAAATATCAGATTAAATTGTTTTTCACTTTTTTCTCCATTACTTTACACTCTTCCTATTTTTTGATTACAACTCTATTTTTTTTCTTTCTAGATTACTGCAAGCAATAATGATTTAGCAACAACATCTTCATCAAATTCCAACATCAGCAATTATCCACCCATTGTATCTAGTTCTACCTCATCCATTAGTAAGTTCTGATTAACAGTCATATACTTTTCATTCAATGATGAGTTACTGAATTTCGTTCTTTAAATGTTATCTCCAAACTTTTTTCTCACCTTCTTTCTCACCTTCTTTCTCACCTTCTTTTCCTCCTTTCTCTATCTTTGAATTGCACATTTTCCTGTTTCTCAAAATTTACAACTAAACAGTTCTATTGTGTAAATGATTTAGTTTGCAGATTTCAGCTCATTTTATGCTAGACACAATTTTGACCCAATAACTATATCAAGATCATCCGATTAGCTAAATTACCCTTCTCTTTATCAACCAACTCTCTGTTTTATGTTATTATATTTACACTTTATCCATTTTATTTTATTACTTTAACCTTTATTAAGCGCGATTAGTTGAGCTAAAAATCAAAATCAATCTGTGTTGTGACATTTCAGCTTCACTTTATGAATATTATATATTTTGTTTACTTTTTACTATCAGTAGACGATTTTTATGATTGAATCGATTGAACTTTTTCAAACTAGTATTCAATTGTAGTGAGAAGTGTTTTTTTCTCAGCTGTATTAGCATTTCTCCTTCATTATGTTCTATTAAAAACCGGTCGTATCAGTATTATCACGAGTCATTATTCATTTTCAATTGTAGTCATTATGGTAATCTGTTTTTTGTTCACAACACGACAATAACTTTCACCAATATTGAATTTACTTTACAAATACAAATTGTAATTACTTGAACGCTTGCTAAAATTATATAACCAGTTATATTGCAGAGTGGTTGAAAGCTTTTCATTATTGTATTGATACTAACATCATCTAATTATTAATCATATTAGAATTGACTGCTTTCAAAAATGAACTTGAAAATATAACCAGTGTCAATGACAATTCAAAGATAATCATTTTTACCAGACTCATTGAAATGTTGAATTTTTAGATAGTAACTAATATTTTCCCTTTCTTTTCCAACCCTTTTAGGCATGCTTTTTCAAGACTTACTTCGCAATAAGTACTCAAACTATGTAAAATATTTATCTGGTGCATTAGCAGCTATGGAAATATCTTCAAACGATATTATTTCCTACCGAGATCTTACCCATAATAATATAGCATGTTCATCATCTCATAAAGGTGTAACAAACTCACCTTCTTCATTTTCATCAACCTTACCAAAGTCTCCATCTCAACATCATAATGGATTAAATTATCTAACTGAAACCAATGGATTGGACAAGCTCAGTTCAATGTCGCTTTTATGTGAATCCTGTGATAGAGGAGTAATCACCAAAGGTAGCACCATAAATCCTGCTTCAGTGGGTGATCAAAGTAAAGATGGTTCCAAAGAGAGATATTCAAAGATTGAATTACATCGCATTGTTTATTCTGGAAAATTATTGCCTCTAAAAACTCTGAGGAAAGGAGGTCTTGTATGAAAGTTTAAAAAGATATATATGCAAAGTTTCAATATTTGCATTGAAGCTGTGTAAATAAGCCTTTACTATTGAGAATTAGTTGAGCAAAAATTAAAATAAAATAAATCTAGTTTCAATCAATATAAATCAAATATTTTATTCTTTCTGTACATGATAAATGTTAATTTTTTCAATTCTTTTTTCAAGTCAAAAATATGTAGCAATTTGGATTCGCAAAAATTTATACAAAGTGGTGTTATCCGTTCGCCCATCACAAGCAAGTTAATGATCAGATGCACATTCAGGATGTGTTTCCAGTTCGAAATCTTCAAAGACAAGTTTTATTCGATGACCTGGAGTGGTGGTAAATAGCCAAGCACAGTCCTTACGGTTAAGATATGGTTCAGGACAACTTCCCTCCTTGCAATTATGTTTTCCTCTTTGCTATAGTCAGAGAGATTTCAAGTGATTGGAAAGATTAAGCGCAAAAAATTTAATGGCGAAACGACAGTGAACCATCAAACATTATAGATAATAATAAATGGGATAAGGCACATAAACATAAGTTGGTGTCGGCGGTGGTGGTGGTGGCGGTATTGGCGGTGGCGGTGGTGGTATATGGTATGATGGTGGTGGTGGTGGTGGTGGATATGAAGGGATTTGATACGGACTTTTGTAATATGGATATTTTCTAGGTGGCTGGTATGGTGGGTAAGGGTAACCGTGTGATTTGACGGTCAAAGCAAAAGATGCACAACACAAGAGAAAGTAAAAGAAGGGACTCATTGTGAATCAAATGAGACGCGACGAGAAACTAAAAGAAATGAAAGTGACATTTTGGTTTATAAAACTTTTCTAGAAAATCTTAATCCGTTTAAATTTAGTTTAACCTTTGGCGGTTTGAATTGAAAATGAGTCCTCATTGAGGACTCCTCAATATTTAATGAATTACCAATCATACCATGTTGACCTGTAATCAAATATTGGTCTTAATCGAGTTTCCATTATATTGATAGTTAAACATGAATATTTATTTATACATTAATAGGAATGAACCAAATATTTACTTATTACTTAATGCAAGTTTATTATTTTTCATTCAATCTCTCATTGATGATTACCTAACCGAATATCATGATTATGTTCATCCTTTACCCAAACTGCCATGAATGGACTTTCCTTAAGTATCCAACACTATTTACTATTAGCCAATAACTGATGGTTATGTTCAATTGATTGCATTACTTTGATCAGATAATATTTTATTTCAATATTTCTAACCTTTTACCGATTTCCTATTCAATTAAATTTGCTATATCTTTGGATTTGTTTTCCAAGTGTACATGATTGCACTGTCAAATCAAAATTCAACCTTGGTTTAACTAATGGGGCTCACGGTATAAAAGCTGATCTGATTGAACTCAAAAAGACTCAATTTTAAAAGAGCTTAAAATAAATAAGCCACAAGTAAAAAGCCAAAGGTAAAAGGGCCAATCTAACGATTTTTTAGAATGAAGAGAGCTCTAAAATAAATCGTTTAAGTATCTTCTAGAATTGTGGTTTGGGTTCAAAGCAGCAAAAGCGAATGACCAAAAAGTTAATACCAATTAAATTCACCCTTTGTATACAATTTATCGAAAAGTTGCAATTTATTTTTGCTATTAAATTGCTAATCAAACACTTTTTTAGCTTTGTGCATTCATAGCTAACAAAAATCAATCCAAGTTTCAATTTGAACGTGATTTTACCGCTAACTATCGGTCATAAAACTTTTCAATCTGTCCAATGGACTTGTGTGCCCAAACTAACTCGGTTCAAACCTATCTCGATATCAAACCTTTCAATAGATTTATATTCATTTTAAAAGCCGATTTGCTATTTTGTCTATTTGCGCATTTGCTTCTTCTTTTTTACTTTTCCTGTTTTGACTCATTACCAGAATTGTAGACTTGAAATTCAATGTTAACCCGATGAAAATTTTCTGTCAAGAATATAAATTTTTAGCAATTTTGTCTTTACAATAATTCTCGTTTGAATAGAACCAACTTTCAAATGATCAAAACCAACTTTGATAAGACAAAAACTCTCGAGTTAAAGCATCTTTATTCAGATTATTTCGTTGATTGTTAATTACTTTTTATTCTGATGCATCGCGGAATAAAGAGTTATGCAGAGTATGTAAAAAGGATTATCACTAATTTTTCCAATCAATTTCCGCTGAAGATTGTAAATCACATAAGTTAACATTTATCGAAGTGATGACGAATGATTGATGAATTGTCCATCTTCATTTCCATCCAATCCATGATAAACAATAGAAAATCCTTTGTTGTGCTGAGTATCATCGGAATGAAAGCGAACCAAAAGGTACTCACTTGTTGATAAAACTTCAGGTGGCAACTGAAATCAAATCAATGAAAATTCAAATTAAATTTCCTTCAATGGTTACACACTTTTTCAATGCATTAAATTCACAATAATTACTTACAGTATTACCACAGTAGCGTCCAATAAGACGAGATGAAGTGTCATAACCGTCAAATATTTCCACATAATCATAGCTACAATCATTTTCCGCTTCAATTTCAAAGGTAAGGAATCTCAGTCTAACCCGATAACCATCAGGAGCTTCAATAACCCAATCACAATCTTCCTTTTTGTCATAATTGGAATCACCGTATTTAGCATGAGAATATAAATGTTCAACATTGGAAGTAGCAATCAACCGGCCACCACAAACAGTTGTATGAGTTGCTTTAAAGCCTTTCCGTTGGACTGATGGGTCAGACTTGAAGATCATGTACAACTTGTTTGACGAGGAAAGCAACGGATGTGGCAATTTGGATCCACAAAATTTACCCAAAGTGGTATTATCCATTGTCGGTCCATCATAGACAAGTAAATGATCATAAGCACATTCAGGGTGAGTTTCCAGTTCGAAGTCTTCAAAGACGAGTTTAATTCGATGACCTGGAGTGGTGGTAAATAGCCAAGCACAGTCTTTACGGTTAGGATATGGTTCAGGATAATTGGGTGAACTGATTAACCCAAAGGGTGATACAATTGAATGAGTACAACTTCCCTCCTTGCAATCATGTTTATTTTCATGAAGGACAAAGCCATTGTGGCAGGCACACTTATATGATCCTATTGTATTGATACAAATGTGTTGACAGCCGCCATTGTTAACAACACATTCATCTTTATCTGTTTTTATTAATTTAAACAAGGCGAAAAAAGAGGAAGACAATGAAAAGGAATTAAAATGAGTTAATAAATGATTAAGAGCAACAATTAATTACCGGTAAAAAATGAAGCCGAGAATCCACTTTTCTGTACACTATTATCAGTGTTGAATGCAATCCTCAAACTATTCCCAATCGAGGTGATTGTCGGCGGATTTGTTGGACCACAAAATACTCCATGTTTATAATAATCTGGATTGTCACTTTTAACACTCTTCACCTCAACACTGTCATACTCACAATCTTGCTGAATAGATGATGGAAAGAAAAGAATCGTTATCAGTTAATTCTGGTTAATGTAAACATCAGTAGTTTCACATTTTTAGATTCAACAATCATGTAACACTTGGGAAAATCACGAGATATAACAATTCTAATTGCATAGGAAATCGTTAAAGGGTTAGAAATATTGAAACTAAATATCATCTAATCAAAGTATTGCAATCAATTAAACATAAACATCAGTTATTGGCTAATAGTAAATAGTGTTGGCTACTTGAGGAAAGTCCATCCATGGCAGTTTGAGTAAAGCATGAACATAATCATGATAGTCTCTTTCAGTTAGGTAATCATCAATGAGAGATTGAATGAAAAATAATAAACTTGCATTAAGTAATAAGTAAATATTTGGTTCATTCCTATTAATGTATGAATAAATATTCATGTTTAGCTATCAAGAAATATAATAGAAACTCATTTAAGACCAATATTTGATTACAGGTCAACTTGGTATGATTGGGTGTTGATTGAAATAACTTTGAATGTTGAGGATTGATTTGTATTGAAGAGGGAATACTAGAGAGTATTTGAGAAAACTTACATTATTTCCTTCCAAATCGAAATGAGTGAAATTCAATGTTATCCTGAATTGTGGTGGAGCAACAATTTCCCAAATGCAATTCTTGTTGGGTGGATAAAGATCAGGAAATGATGGACTGACCAGAGTTCCATTGAATAGTTCAATTAAACCACCGCAAGCATTTTCACACTTTTTCCCATCTGAGTGAAGCTCGTATCCAATGCGACACTCACACCGGTAACCACCTAATGTGTTAACACAAATATGGTCACATCCATGGTTACCTGAGGAACATTCGTCGAACTCTTTGATAAAATTGGCTGAAAAACCAGCCTTTTGGACGGACGAATCAGATACAAATTTGATTAAAAGTTTATTGCTTGTCGATCTTATATCATTTGGAATTCTGTGTCCACAAAATTTACCCAAAATGGGTGAGTTTGATAATGAATGTCCATCTCGTATCTCAAGGTAATCATAGACACAGTTGTCATGAGATTCAATCTCAAAAGAGGAAAATTTAAGGGCAACTTGATATTTCTCTGGAACAATTATCTTCCAAATGCATTCCTTGTTGGGTCGATAGTCTTCAGGATAATTGGGACTTTGAAGAGTTCCTTCTTCACTAACAATATCACCACCACAAATCGCTGAAAAGCACAAAAAACAAAGATAAATATACAACTACAAACTTATCAAATTGATTGAAAAAGAAATATTAGAAAATCAAAAAAGAATCAGAAATCTTTTCATAAGGTCCAAGCTTCAAGCTACAATTCAATAAATCTCAATCCATCAGACTATTTGGAGCAAAGGAAACTATTTGTTCAACATCAAAAGGCCAATCTCAAGAAAATGTCTTTCTAATTCAATATGCAATCGAAGCAATTGTTTGTGTAAATCAAACGAAATCTCAATTCTAAGCAAAAAGTGACTGAATAGTGAACTGTTCAAGTTCCCTTGACGTACTTTAAGATCTACCGATCAGAGTTCTAGATTGAAGTATAATCTTGTCAGAAACCATCAGAAGTTAGATGCGTACTCGAATCAGTAATGAAAGAGGAAATGTTCACCTTGATCATGCAAGAAGAGTAGGCAATGCTTTGAAGGTACAAGATTTTGGACTGTGAGCAAAGTAGCACTCAACTGTAGACCAGAAAACTAGTCAAATGTCAGTGATCTATTGGACGGTGTTGCTAAAATAAACATGGAAATTCGTAATTTGATCCGAATGAATGAGTGAAGAAAATCGCAAAACTGCTCTAAATCAGCTTAGCTTTACTTTGGTCTAATATTTTTATTCACTTGTAACTATTATTGTTGCGTTGCTTCGCATTTACGGAACCTTCTCTTGGTGTCAATTAACTTTACTTAGCTAATCAATAATTTTCATTTGTTATCTCAACCAATTAAAAAGATGATTAACAATTGATAAAATAATGCCAATTATTACCGTTAAGTGACAATTTGACGTAAATATTAAAACTGATAATGAATAAGGTGAGTTATGGTTAGACAGATTCTTAGTCAACATCAATCAAATCTAATCAATCAAATGGCACTTGATCAAACTGAGTGTGAGGATTGAACAAGGAAAACAAAGAAGTGAAAGAACGGCCAGAAATGGTAAATGAACAAGTTACGATTTGTTTGCTCATCACAGTTAATCAGATTTGTTGAGATTAACAATTAACGAGAATGTAATAGTTGAATGAACAAACAAAAGGAACCACAACTTGACAACAATCAAGAAAAGATTGCAATGAAAGAGATTCCTTAAGATATTGAAATGACGAAAAAAAGGGAAAACACAATTTACCTTCGTAATGAGCTTTGAAACCTTTATGTCCAACTTGTTTGATGGTCGTTTTCAGGGTAACCAACAATCGATATCCAGTGGACATGATAATGTCCGGAGTTTTGGTTCCACAAAATCGTCCAAGTGAAGGTGATTTAGGCCAATAGCCATCTCGAACTTCAATATAATTGTCAAAACATTCATCGTTAACCTCATCCGTTGCAGAAGAAGAGACAATGTCCAAATCGGTAATGTTCAATTGAATGCGTTCTCCGTGAGTTGCCGTGATTCGCCATTCACAATGTTCACTTTCAATTTGATTGGATCCATTTGGATAGTAAGGAGACCAAAAGGCGTCACTTGGCTCTTGAAGAGTTCGACCGCACTTGGGACATCTGTAGAGTAAATTTGTTTGTGAAATGTCTCCTTTCGATAACCTTATTCGTTGACCAATTTCGGGTCTCGTTTTTTGTATTGTATCTTCTTGAGGTAAAATGGTGTCTAAATAGGTTGACTTAGAAAAAGTGTTTCTAGCATAATGCATAATCGAATCAAAATCATAGGTTAATCCTAGCGAGTTGACCTCTTCATCGGAAAGCTTATTGAAATTGTACTCTTGGCCCGACATTATGTTGTTGTTGACAATTTCAACGTGCTTATCCCGATCAGGTCGAGTGTGTTCATGCCAAAATCCAACCACATGACCCAACTCATGGACCGCAATACCGAACTTGTCACAATTTTTACCCAATGAAATGGCTTGTGGACCATTGCCTCGTTTACCGACAAAAGAGCAACAACCACAAGGACGTTCGGTGAATACAATGTAATTTGGATGTTCGGGTGTTCGCTCGACAAACTGAATACAAGTAAAGTTTTCCCAATGACGCATGGCTTGTTTAAAGAGAGCTTTATGGTCACCTGAAAAGTTGGCCTCAATTTCATACGGAATCACACCGTAATCCCAGAGTCGCTCAGGTCGAGCAGTTGCTGCACGAGGTGTCCGTTTAATTGGTGAATGGACAAGTTGTGAGGCGAATGAAAATGAGGGTAAAGAAGATGATGCCGAGTGAAAAGTGGACGATGATGAAGGTGGTAAACTTGATGGCAATTTGGGTGTCGATTTAGACGAAGATCGTAATTTCTCTTTATATCCATAATGTTGATTGTTACTTTGATAATTGTGATTAGATGATGGCGCTGAGATGGTTAAAGGTATTTGGCAAATTGTTGCAAGAATAATAATTTGAACTGTTACAGTTAACAGAATGTAAAATAAGCTCATCTTTCCGTTAAGACAATCATAGCATCATCGTTAGATCTTTGGTGAGAGAAGCGAGAGACGAGGGAGAGACAGAGACAGAGATGTTTAGTGAGAGAGGGTGGGAAATGGGAGAGAGAGAGAGACAATAAATGATTTCAATAACTTTGATTAGTTGTGATGGAAACAATGAGATGATGTCTCAATGAAAGTCTAACACCATTCTCCCAATGTTCAACTGTGAAGGGGCTTTACGCATAGACTCAATGGTGAAGAGTAAAAGTGAGCGAACAGAGCAAATAATATTCAATTTTGTCTGAGGGAGGAGAAGGATGATGAGAAGGAGGAAGATGAAGAAAATGAACAAATACACAGAACAAAAGTGAGGAGATGCTGGATGAGGAATGACAGAAGAGATACTTTACTTTTTCTGTGTTTTTTTCTTCTTCTTTTTCTTCTCTTTGCAAATGAAAAAAAGAGCAAAGAACGATGGACGAGAAGAAAAATTAAGATAATAACAAGAAAAGCATTACAAGATGATAATGATGATGAAGATGATACACATGTGAGAGATTCATCTTTGTACAGATGGATGAGATGAGATGCTTTCCTCTTCGTTTCACTTCTTTTTTCACTTTTTTCTTCTCCTTTTCTGCTCTTGTCCGAGGAAATGAAAGGAACCAGAAAAAAAAGAGTAAAAAAGTTTGCTCCAAATTTCCATTTTTCATTATCATCGACAATCATCATCAAGGATTAAATTGCAAAGGCCAAAGAGAACGGCCATTGTGACCTATTCATCTTTCACTTGTTACCCTAAAAGGCCTTTGAGGTTACAGTAAATGTTAATATGATACTCTTGTTGTTAACTACAAATTATTGGTGTAATTTGCTTCTCTTGTTATTGTAACATTGAGATTCCTCTGCTTACAATCGATTCGACATATTTCCTTGCCTCTGCCATTTCCATCATTTTTCATCTTTATCATCTTTCTTCGTCTTTTTTTTCTTGCTTGCTTCAAAGTGAAAATATTGCCAATCAAGATCTGAATGCAATGAATGCAGTGACCAAATTTCTTGGTATTTTCATTTTTCTCCTTTTTCTTTCTTCCCATTCCTTGTGATGCCCATTATTATTGCCTTGGGTGTTGCATAGTTATTACCAGAGATTGAATCATCAATAAAAGAAATGTATCAAAACCAAAATGAGATAAAAGATACAATGGCACGAGTCTCTTTGATTCACATTTTTGCTCTACACTGGATTCCTGGAATAATGTTTTACACTTGAATGGACCTATTATTATGGAGATAAATATGTTGACCATTTAAGCATATTGTCATTGTAAGCAAGAATCTGATAAAGGAAAAGACGATTAAGCCAACATCCAAAGCAGCAAATGTAAATTAAGCAAATTCAATCCGATCAAGTGAAATAAGGTGATCAGAAGGGATTCACGTTAAAGGGTCAAAATAACCAAAAGCTTTGGAAGAGATAAACTGATTTAATTTAAAGGTCAATATACACCATTCAATCCAAACTTACAGATGAAGCGGTGATGAATCAAAGAAGAAAAAGCGAATGACCAAAGAGCAAATCGACTTTTAAAATTAACAAGTTGGACTCCTCATCATGATTGATCGTGAATTGTTTACCACTGGATTCAATCCATATTTGAAGACTTAAACTCTTGATGAAAATCAATGAGAAAAACTAAAATCAAATCTGATTCCATAGCTGAACAAAATCTAAGTTTGTACTTCAATTCAATTGAAATTCAATGTTATCCTGAATTGTGGTGGAGAAACAATTTCCCAGATGCAATTCTTGTTGGGTGGATAAAGATCGGGAAATGATGGACTGACCAGAGTTCCATTGAATAGTTCAATTAAACCACCGCAAGCATTTTCACACTTTTTTCCATCTGAGTGAAGCTCGTATCCAATGCGACACTCACATCGATAACCACCTAATGTATTAACACAAATATGGTCACATCCATGGTTACCTGAAGAACATTCGTCGAACTCTTTGATAAAAACCAGCCTTTTGGACGAGAAGAGCTACTTGATATTTTTCTGAAAGATTTACTTTTGAAAATTCATTCCTTGATTCCTTGTTGTTAACAATGTCGGTTGTCAACACATTTGTATAAACTATTTACTAAAACCACCAAAGGCAAAACTAAATTTAAACCGATTAAGATTAGCTAGAGAAGCTTTATAAACCAAAATTTCACTTTCATTTCTTTTAGTTTGTCTTGGTGTCTCATTTGATTCACAATGAGTCCCTTATTTTACTTTTTCTTGGCTTGTGCTTCTTTTGCTTTGACCGTCAAATCGCACGGTTACCCTTACCCACCATACCAGCCACCTAAACCAGCATATCACTACCACAAAAGTCCCTATCCATATCAGCCACCACCATCATATCACATGCCTCCACCACCACCACCGCCACCGCCGCCGCAACCAGCTTATGTTTATGTACCATATCCCATTTATTATTATCTGTGATTAAATTCTTGGTTCAATTTTTTGTGGAGGTGTCGGCACATGCACAACATCCGTTCCAAAGATCCCGATAAACTAATCAATCGATGAATGGTGACTGCATTTAATTATTGTCATCTCTTCATTATAATCAATTTATCATTTATTGCCCTCGTTTTTTGACCCTTTTACTGGGCATGATTATACAAGCTGATCAATGACACACAATCGCTCAAGACCCTTTCCCTTTACCCACCAACAAAAAACTGCTGCTTGTTTTTTCTTGAAACATTTTTCTTCCTTGTGACAGTTGCATTTTGATGTTTTCATTTCTTGTAATGAAACTTGCCATCACCACAAGACCTGCACCACCTCCATTAGCAATCAACAACGAAAGAGAAACATCAAATTTGACCAAACTGTGCTCACATCTAATCAATTGAACGCAAAATCAGCCTATCATCATCATCATCATCACTTAACAAAACAACAAACATTGTTACTACAAAATTAACAACATGTAAAATTGCCTGTCACAAAATGAATAAAAAATAAAAATTATGTTTACTTACCAATCTAATCAGCTAATCTTGTTCTTAAAGTTAAACTTCGCCAGCGTGTTAAGATATCGGTAACTCCTACCTATCGGAGGAGGGAAAAGTCTCATGCCTTTTCTGCTTGACCGTAAAAAGTAACATCTGAAAAAGAATTTCATAAAAAATCTGGTTAAATAACTGTACTAAAGGCGATTGAATTTTAAAGGATTTAAATGCAATAATAGACTCAGTGTTACAACTTTCACACCTTTCAAACCTGTAAATCTCAACTCTTAACTCGGAAGGAATTTTGTACTTAAATACGCTTTTCTCTTGCCTTTCGAGTGATATAAAACACAATTCTGTGGCAATTTTTATTTCAAAAAATCGAAAATCGATCTCAATAGAAATCGAAATCGGGGCATCATTACTTGTAGCTCCATCTATCGAACAATATTCAAAGGTTAAAAATATTTGCTTTGAATTTGATTTAAATTTGCCTCTCTGTGCTGTTACCGCAAAGTAACTGGTAAACTGGCAAGTAACCAGTTACTGTAGCCATGCCTGGTTACTCTCCATCTCTCTCTGTGTCTCTCCAACTAAACCAGAGAATCATGAAGAGAGTTTGTTAAGACAAGTTTTCCCAGTAAACTAGACAACTTTCACCAAAACAATTGGGTATAAAAGTGGATATCAAATAAAAGGTGACTAAATCTTGTTTTACTTTCTTCTTTTTCCAAAATCTTTTGTTTTTTTTCTCTTCTCTAAAGCTGTGTTTCTTTTTTGCCAGTGTTTTCCTTTCTAACCTTTCTTTTTACTGTGTTGTCCATCTTTTTTTTACTAGACGCTACGTTGTCCTTTACCATTGGCTGTCAATAAGCGGCCAACTCATTGTTACTGCCAACATTGTTACCACTGTTCATCTTTAACCATGAAATTGACTCATTGCAAAAGGATAATTTCAAATAGTGTAGTTTTCGTGTCAACACCATCAACCTCATCGATACCAAACTCATTGCCATTACCACCAACATCTCATATGAGAACCACTTTTCGGATATTATTGTTTCTCTATTTACCTTTACTTTCCTACGGATCGTTCAACTGTTTTCTCAAATGTAATTGTGTTTATAAGAGCAACAAACTACACGCCGATTGTGGATCACTTTCATTAACGGAACTTCCTCAGGTAAATGATTAAGACAGTCAATCCATCGGCATTTGTTCATCTTGTAATCTTTATTCAAACCAATGTCTAGTAAATGAGAAATAAAAATGAAATATATTTTCAAATTAATAGACCAAATTGACTTTTAGTTGATGAAATTACTTTAACATTTACTTTTCTTAACTTTAAATCTCCCAATGAATATCATCCTCATCATAATCACCAATCAATCACCATGTTTCCATAGTAATTCATTTTATTGCATCTTCACTTCTTTGTTTAACCAAAAGAAACTTTCCAACAATGAGACGATGATGGTTACTATTTTTGCCCTTTCTTTTCCTCTCTCTTTCCTTTCTTTTCTCTCCTTCTTCCATCTTCTTTCTCTTTCCAGTAAACTCATTTTCCTGAATAATAAATGTTCACTTGATTCACTGATTATTCCAATGGTCATGTACATGGATGTTTGATTGAATTTAGCATTAAAAGCAACTTTTGCATTCAAATTAATGCCACTTAAGTTTGATTAATAATAAATATCCTAAGATTAAATGTTTATTAGGATCAAATCAATTACAGTCAAGAAAGTTCAATTGTTATCAACACTAGCAATTGTTTCATTTATCGTCAAAATGAACGTTAACACGCTTTAATCAGGTTTATTAACCTTTTAATTCAACAATTGATTTCACCCATTTTTCCGAGCAAAGTGAAAATTGTTCAAAACTCAATTTGTATTTCAATTTGATATTTAACCTTTTAAAATTTCTCGACCCATTTAACCCAAAACCCAATCAATTTTAACCATTTTCAAGGCAATTTCAAACTTAACCATTCAATTGATTTCAAACCATCTTTCCATCATTCATCATATTGAACAATTTCATGTTATAAAGTGAATCCAACGAAACATGTTTTACTTCCTTTTGTGAATTGGTTTGAAACAACAGCAAAACCAAAATGAATCAAGCGAATGAAATGGAAACCTCGAAAAAAAATTATCAAATTATACAAATTTTTTTATAACATTGTAATAAACTAGTATATAAAGGATGAAGAGATAAAATGGGAAATCAAAGAGATGATAAATTGAGCCACGAAAATGAAGTAAAAGAAAATCTAAATCTTAACACTTGCTATTTTATTCTTTTCTTCAGATTATCATGGATTGCATGAAATAACATTTTACACTGCATTTATACCCTGCAACTCTTGAAGTTTAATGATAAACTTAGAAATATTAGAGAAAAAAATGGAAAAGAAAAGTTGCAACTTATTCCAACATAAATAAACCTTTACCATAAACTGGTTCAACCAAAAATGAATGATACTTTTATTTCAAATAAATGTTTACATGATAATAGGCGATAAATTTCAACGTTTTCCTGATGAACAAATGAAACAAAACAAAAGTACAAAAATGAACTGATAAGCTTGCCAAAAGTAAGATATAAATACAAGTTTCAGTTTATAATGAAACAAAACAATCGTTGAATAAAAATGTAACGAAAAATTAGCTGAAAAAGAAACTATTTGTACATTTCATTCAAAGCAACAGCCAACCTCAACCTCAACAATGAACAATTACTAGTTTCCCTTGAATAGACACAGAATTTGGAAACTAAGAACTTCAAAAAAAACTTTTAATCAATCTTTACTGTTCACATGGGTGACCATTGATCGACCGCAAATTATTTGACGATGTAAAAGTCAATTTATTTGTTCATTTCAGGCAAATCAGAACTGAATTTTACATCTGAAAAATCTATTCCTAGCGTGGATATCTTTGAATATCATAGCTGAAATTGACTGACTGTTAAGACACAGTTTTCATAACAGCAACCAATCGAATGACCAAAACTCACTTTCATAAGACAAAAGCTCTCGAGTTAAAGAGTTGCTCTATTCAGAGTATGTAAAGTCCATTTCTTGAGAATCGATCTAGTTTTGTGGTTGACAGATCGACAGATCAGATAGACTTGACAAACCGAAACTTCAGTTTCTATCCTGAAAGTCTGGTTCATAGGCAGTTTCGGTCGTCATCCTTTCATTTTCAACTTTGCTTTTAATGATAAACAATAATCGGTTGATAACAACGATAATAACCATTTGTTGATGATAATGCTGCTGTTAGGCCTTGCAAGTGTTTCTTATCCAATTTGCAAAACAATAGGGAAAAGGTTGAAATCTTTTTCCTCTTCTCTTCATTTTCTTCCTCTTTCCTCATCTTCTTTGCATCCTCATCCATTTTCATCATTTTCATCATTTTACTCTTTCTTTTTTCGCCTCTACTAACTTTTCAAACTCTAAATGGCTCTTCAGCAAAGGCTTAAACAACAACAGAAGAAGCAACAACAAGCAAAGTAATCTAAGGTTTATGGTGCAATTTAGTTCATCTAAAAGCCATTTTTACTCGATACTTATGAATACAAGAGGAAAAGATTTCAATGTACCTTCAAGGAGCAGTAATTTTCATGAACCTGGTGCCAGTTGAGAAACATTTCAATGTCCTTCTCCTTTCCTCTTCACCCTTAAATCCTCATCTGAAATAAATTTTCTTCTGAATTCTTCTTCTTCTTTAACCTTCGCTCCAGTTCAACTTAATGTACTTTCCAAGTCAAATACAGTTTATAGTTTTTTCCTCTTTTTTTCAACTAAATCGTTTCTCCTTTTCCATTGTATTTATGTAAAAATAATAATAATAAATTCTGGATTCAGCGAAAAAAGAAGAATAAGAAGAAGAGTTCAACTTTTCCAGGTTTATCTTCGATTTTATTCAATGTTTACTCGTTTCGTTGCTCCTTATATATAGTCATTATCAATGTCAACATTATCAATTGAAAAGAGTTATCAGTTACAGACAATTTTATGGCTCCAAATTGACCCCGATACGTGAAATGATAAACTTGGCAAACAGAATGGAAAGAAATTTTCTTTGTTCGAATCAATTTATCCATATTTGTCCAACCTACAGAATCAGTAAAATAGTTTCCCTGAAACTTGGTTCTCCACTCGAATCGAAACCGTTTCAAGCGTTTTAAACATTTGTACAATAGCTTTACAAATTAAGTTGAATACGAAAAAATCGAAATTTTTTTAAAAAAATTTTAAAATTAAAACAATTTAAACTCAAACAGACTGAAGATCAAAATGGAAACTAAAAATTTGTTTTATTCAAAGATTTTTCCTCCCGTGTTTAGCTTTAGATAAGATTCGAGTTTCATTATTGATTCAACATGAATGCTCGAACAATTTGATTACACTTTTCATGAGATTCCTTGTTTGATAGCACGTGCAACAGTTTAGCCGATGAACATTTTAGGACAAGAATGATTGAAAGCAGAAAAACCAACACATTCATCTTGTTGCAAATAATTCAATGTTCAGATGAAAATAGTCAATATTTACCTTATCCAATGTGAGATAAGAAAATGAAGAAAACTAGGAAAAAAGAAAGAAAAAAGATGATGATAATTCTTGTTTTTTTCACCATTGCTTTCAGTTTCAACAGGGAAACAAGTTGTTCTGATGAAGGCTTAATTTCATCAACCACATGAACCTCACTTACAATGTTAGGTAAACAGTAAAAAAAAGTTGCACTTTTTCATTCAATTTTATCATCATCTATTAGATTCTTGTGTCCCTTTTTTATCCCATTTTTCTTCATTCCGATAATTCTGTCAATTTCACCAAAAACAAAGCTTTTAACCTTTCAGTCTAAATGATTGTTTTCATAATAGTTTCATTTTATATCTCATCATTCAATTTTTTCTTCATTTTTCCAAGTTTCATTTTTCAATTTCATTGTAATTCTAGTTTTCAAGTTTTCCTTTTGTCTCTCATTTTGTGCAAAAATATCAATCCCTGTAATGTAAACCATTAGTCGATAATCAAAGGTTCAACTTTAATTATTTTCATTTGCCATGTTTGAATATTGAATAGTTGCGGTTGAGATTTGGTTTGAAATTCAAGTTTTCTCTTTTCTTTTTCACTTTGCAGCTTTGTAAAAATGACTGAAACTTGATCTTTCATTTCATCAAATTTTGCCTTCTTTTATTGAAATATGAATACAGTCAAAAAGCGATTCAAAATTATCATGTAACTTCAACATAATAAAATTAATCAAATCCCAGTAAAGAGTCTAGCATTACGATCAACTTCACGAAAATGAAAAAAAAACTTCTCATTTTTGCAAAACTCGAAACTGATTTCCCTCCATTATGAATAGTAAATATAAAAAGGTTCAAAACTTTTGTCGAGATTTGATGAAAAATGAAATAGAAAAATAAAAGTCTGAAAATCTCTCAGGGAATGAGATGCTTACAGCTGGGATTATCATTTCAATATTCATTCCGATGATCGACTAATTTCAATTTTTATCCAAGTCGAATTCAGAACTCAGACAACAAAAATGTCCATTTCATTGAGACGTTCATTTTTTGTACTTGAACTTAATCGATGAAATCAAATGTAATCAACTTTAAATGTCAAAACTCATTAACAATCAACGCATCAATTAAAACGTCGAGATAAACTTTTCACCATAAAAGTTGAGTTTCATGGATTGAATCATTTTCATTGCTTTCATAAAATTGTTGTTACATTTAAAATTTACTTATTTAATTGATTAAAGTGAATTGATTTAAATTGCTTAATGAATGTCAACAACATGAAAATTGTCATTACCTTTGAAACGTTCAACATGAACATTATCATGATATACTTATGTTATCAATTTATCACTGTCATTGAAAGAAGGATTATCTTTAACTTTGAAATTTAATCACCAAATAAGCATCATTTTAATTGGCAGTTTCAGTTTTCTTACCTCTTAACCATGAAAATAGGAAGGAACAACATGAACTTTAATCGACTTTCTCATCCTGATGATATCAATAATAAAGCCTGAAAAGAGCCTGAAGCAAAGATTTTGATTGAGCTATTTGTGAGATAAATTGTTTCTCATTGGTTCATCTCTTTTCCTCTCTTTAGTTTCTCAACTTTTACACTAAAAGTAAAAA